GCATTCCTCTGATCCACTAATTTTGTCACTTGGTCAAAGAATGCAATAAGATTTGTCTGGCATGATCTATTTTTGACAAACCCATGTTGGCTTTTAGTAATGACTTTGTTTGCCTCTAGGTGTTCGTTGATTCGTTGTTTGATTATCTTTTCCAGGATCTTCCCAGGTATTGAGGTCAGGCTGATAGGTCTGTAATTTCCTGGATCCATTTTTTTTCCTTTTTTGAGGATGGGAACTACATCAGCTCTTTTCCAGTCCTCTGGTAGTTCCCCTGTGTTCCAGGATCTTTGAAAAATATAGTTCAGTGGCTCCGATATCACATCTGCCAGTTCCTTGAGAACTCTGGGGTGTAATCCATCTGGTCCTGGCGATTTGAACTCATCTAGGCTGGACAGGTGCTCACTAACGATTTTCTTGCCTATCTTAACTTGTGTTTCTGTTTTGTTTTTTGTGGCACTATTTTTGATAGGTTGGTCTGTTTTTTCCCTTTGTGTAAAGACAGATGCAAAAAATGAGTTAAATAGTTCTGCTTTCTCCCTGTTGCTTGTCACCTTCTTGCCACTTCCACCCACTAATGGACCAATCATTTCCTTCACTTTTTTCTTGTTTTTTACATGTTGAAAGAAGCTTTTTTTGTTATTTTTGACTTTGGTCGCAAGCCTTAGTTCATTTTGAGCCTTGGCTTTCTTCACTTCATCTTTGCAGGCTCGGGCTATTTGCTGATATTCTGACTTAGTTATGTTCCCCTCTTTCCACTTTCTATACTTGTCCTTTTTATCTTTCAATTTGTCAGAGAGTTCTTTATGCAGCCATGCTGGTTTCTTTTGAGAGCTGTTATTTTTCCTCTTTGTTGGTATTGTGCTAGACTGTGCTTTTATTATCTCATTTTTCAAAATTTCCCAAGCTTCTTGAGTTGTTTTCCCCTTGAGGATTCTCATCCATGGAATCCTTCCCAAGCCCTCTCTAAGTTTATTGAAATTAGCTCTCTTGAAGTCCAAGACTCTAGTTTGACTGTGTTCTATTGGTTGTGCTTCTATAATGTTGAATTCTAATATTGCATGATCACTTCCTCCCAGGGTTCCTATGGCTCCAACACCGTCTATCATTTCATCTCTGTTAGTGAGAATTACAAGGGGTTCATCAAAAAAGTCTATTTAATGCTGTTGCCGCTACCAAGACTGTGGCCAATAAAAAAAATATGTTAATTATTCACCCATTAAGTCTCTCCATCTCTCTTTCAGTCATTATGGGTGGAGAGCCCTGTTAGTTTATGGTGACAAAAAAAATCAGCAGCTGCCTAGGAGCATTTTTTTTTCTCTTCTGAAGCTTGCAACAACCTTTAATAAGATATATTAGCCAGAAAAGGAGCTACCAGGATCCTCTTACCCCATCCCCACCTGCTCCTGGTCACACTTTCTCATTTTTACATTTGTTTACATTTGCTTTATGCTATATACCACTAAGATATTAACTGTGATGGATGCTCCAAGAGTTTAACTAGAATACTGTAATTGGAAATCTGGCATATGTCAGAAACACGCTTATGCCCAGCCAGGTTTGGTCTACAGAAAACATAGGGAGATACTAGCATGATACTTTTGTAAAAGCAAAAAGACCAGAAAAACTACTTTTCACTCTGCACTGAATGAAACATTAATCAATGTTGGTTAAAGTCAGAAATACATTTTGGCTTGGTTATGTGGTCATTAGTAAGTTTCCCTTTTCCTCTAATGCTTTTCTTCTCTTCTAAGTTCTTTGTGAGTCACAAAACTCAATGGAGGAAGGATACAACTGTTGACAGTGAAAGAAGCTTTTAAGGAAATGGAAGTCACCTGAATATATTACTTATTCTCAAAGAAGGTGAGCTAAGATCTCAAATTATTAAGAGCTTCCTGCTGTTAGGGGTCATCCCTCAATGGCAGTCAGATGAGTTATCCCTGCTATGTTCATTCTAGTTCATGCAGTCTAAGATTTATAAGCCTCCTTCATGCCATGGTTTCATGTGCTAATTTGAAATCAATAATTAACTAGACTTAACTAGAATTATAATTTAGGGGAAACATATGTGACTTAAGACATATTGTATATATCTAGATTTAGTGCATACAAGAGCTGAAATACATTGTTTTTTTAAATTTATGATACCAAACTGCTAGTTGCATTTAAGTTTTGATTTTCCAATATAACCATCTTGAGGCCATTTTCTCTAAAAATGTTAGGTGGTAATATTGCCAGATAAATAAGTGAGCAAAATGGAATTTGGTCACCATTATTCAAAAGGATGTCACAATTTAAGAAAAACAGAGATATATTAAATCATAAGTGTGCTCCCTCTCTGGCAATTTGGATGTGATTTCTAGTCCTGCCTTATGCACAAAGCCAGCTGGGTAACCCTGGGCCAATCCGTCTCCCTCAGTTCTAAGGAGGCAATGGCAAATCACTACCAAAATCTTGCCCAGAAAACTGCAGGGATTTGTCCAAGCAGTCAAGACTCACAAACACATACAGAGGAAAAGTAAAAGAATAAGGCAACAAAAACGCTCATTGGAATACAACAACTTCACTTTAAGAAACAAAATATGACTACCTCTGGGCCTTTTTGCTTTAGAACAAAGATGGTTAAAGAAAGACATAATTAATATTTATATAATTATTAATGGCCTAAAATCACAGGACTCTTGTTATATTATGATGTTTTTTTGGCTAGCCATTTAAAGGTTTCTGTATGTTTTTAAAAAATTCCAATAGAATCACTACAGAACAATGATGAATCTAGTATAGAGCTTAATTGCATAATTTTTTCTGCCATTTTATGACACTCTGCACATTTCTATTTCTTCAGAGCTCTTTTACATTACAGTAGTCAGTAAATCAAAACCAGTTCAGTTCATATTTACTTTTTGGTTGATGGACCTAAATAATATTAAATATTATATCCACAAAACTATATGTACATATACCTTTGTGTGTGTGTGTGTGTGCATTACTCCTCGAAGCACGAGGCTGAAAACACCAACCTGAAGATGACGAATGGGATTTCGTCGAAACATCACCAAGACACTTCTAATTTTATGCGGGAGAAAACCCGAATAACCAAAGACCTACATATATGTGTATATATATACATGTGTGTGTATATATATATATGTGTGTGTGCATATGTGATATAAAGTTGACAGTAATCATTCCTGAGAACATGCATTGGATTTTAATGCCCATAATCCTCATGCAGCCTTTGATCGTGCTAGTTTTGGATGAGGGGAATTGAATAATACCCACAGAGTTATGCAAAGTAGATTTTATAATCTACTATATTGCTTACATAAACTTACTGCAATCAATATATGAAAAAACAATAGCTACAATTTGCATTAATGATCTTAAAGTGGAAATCAACATAGAACAAAATGTATGACAAGGTGATACAATATCACCTATCCTTTTCTCAGCCTGCCTTGAAGAAGTATTTCGCAAACTAGATTAGGCAAAAGATGGAATAAAATTCAGTGTTGTCTATTTAAACCACTTAAGATTTGCAGATGATGTTGCTCTCTTCTCACAAGACCCAGAAGAGTTACAAAGACACATACCTCAGCTGCACAAAGCAGGAGAACCATTTGGCTTAAAAAATAAACTTGAAAAAGACCTAGGTTAATAAATTCACTTGAAGAAAGAAAAAATGTATAGCTGGAGAAGAACTAGATATAGGAAACCACTACGTATACCTTGGCCAACAGATCTCAATGGAAGGTGATACAAAAAAGGAAATTGAACAGCATGTTAAATGTGGTTGGCAGACATTTGGCAAGTTAAGCGTAATTTTCAAGAACAGCCTCCCCCTATGCCTGAAAAGTTTTCAATCGGTGTGTGCTATCTGTTCTAATATATGCCAGCAAAACATGGACATTAACCTCACAATCAATTCAAAAGCTATGAGTGGTGCAAAGAGCCCTGGAAAGATACATGCTTGGCATCAGAAGACAAGATAGAAAGACATGAACATGGATTAAAGAACAAACCAAAATATATGATGCCATCAAAAGAGTAAAAGAACTGAAATGGAAATGGGCTAGTCACATAGCAAGAAGAACTGATGGCAGGTGGATCAAGGCACTCCTAGAATGGATCCCACTTGATAAAAAGTGTCCACAAAAGAGACAGAATACAAGATGAAGTGACAACATCAGCAAGTATTGTGAGCCCAACTAGCAAAAGAACACTCAGGACCGTATTGGTTGGAAACATGAGGAAGAGGCCTTCATCCTGCAGTGGGCAGACAATGGCTAGAATGATGATATTACTATCAAAATAAACTAAACATGTTACCCTTTTTGGCAGTAAGAAAACAAGGAGAGTTTTTACAGTAAACCAATTTTATGTTGCAAGTTGGACTGTAAATTAGAGGGTGAAAATATTATTCTGCACTTTCTCAATTAATGAACCTTAAGCATATGCCATGTTGTCAACTAAAGAAGACATCACTGCAAAAAAAATTCCACCTACACTAAGTAGACATTAAAAATGTGAACATTCTGCAAATACTACTTAGCTGGAAAGTGGCACAAAGGAAAAAAAATCATACATTCATACAAGAGCCATGGTGGCGCAGTGGTTAGAATGCAGTACTTCAAGCTACTTCTGCTGACTGCCGGCTGCCAGCAGTTCAATTCTCACCAGTTTAAAGTTGACTCAGCTTTCCATCCTTCCAAAGTCAGTAAAATGATGACCCAGATTGTTGGAAGTAATATGCTGACTATATAAATTGCTTAGAGAGGGCTGTAAAGCTCTGTGAAGCAGTATATAAGTCTAAGGGCTATTGCCATAAATCAAAAGTGACATTTACAAGCCACCAACAATGTTGTCAAAAGAATAAGATACATGCAATAATGTCATAATTCAAATGATGTGATGACATTTTTGAATCACATATCATCTGTTCTTCCTGCCCTTCCCTGGAATAGTCAGGAGTATTCCACTATTGTAAGGTGATAGAAACTTACCAATAGGGTTTCTGTCAAAAAACAGCACTGGAGTTCTCAGAACTGACTGAAACATTTTGTTATGTAAAGTCCGAGCTGCGTTAACCAAAATATGAAACATAAGTAGACTCCTCAGTATACTGAAAAGTATTGTAGCCACAGTTAAACCTGTATTTAAATGAAGGAGAGCGTTACATAATGTAATCTATCAAGAATCTATTGACAAACATTTTTTTTAAATCACAAGGATAGTAGTTTAACAGTAATTTGTTTAACATCAAATACTATTAATTTAACAAATCTTCTATGACAAGAAAATTAGTAATTCTGCCCAAATTATTTGCCTCTAGCTAGGTAACTGAGGTGCATGCTGACAAAATAAATAGCTTTTTGAATAAGTTTGTGACCTGACTTAAGTTCATCCATTAAAATAAGTAAACTTATCTCCTAAATTATTTATTTATTGGATTTATGTGGTGCCCATCTTGTCTTTCCCAAAGAAAGTCCTCTGGCCCAGAGCTGCTATTGATTCCTGTCTGCTGGAAAGCATACATAAAGAAATAACTAACAGACCTTCATGGACCTCCATTTCAGCTGACATGTAGTTAACAAAGGATCCAGCCAAACAATTTTGGCTTGTACGTTGTTCTTTATTTTTTAAATGTTTTTTAAAATGTTTTTTAAAAATATTTTAACAATGTAAATATTTTAACATTTGTAAGCTGCCCGGAGTCACTGGAAATTGGGCAGCATATGCATTTAATAAGTTATTATTATATTCATTTTAATGAAGAGAAAGACCAGGGGGGACATGATAGCAGTGTTCCAATATCTCAGGGGTTTCCACAAAGAAGAGGGTGTCAAGCTATTTTCCAAAGCACCCGAAGGCAGGACAAGAAGCAACGGATGGAAACTCACCAAAGAGAGAAGCAACCTAGAACTAAGGAGAAACTTCCTGACAGTTAGAACAATTAACCAGTGAAACAACCTACCTCGAGAAGCTGTGAATGCTCCAACACTGGAAGTTTTTAAGAAGAGACTGTACAGCCATTTGTCTGAAATGATATAGGGTTTCCTGCCTGAGCAGGGGGTTGGACTAGATGACCTCCAAGGTCCCTTCCAACTTTCTTATTGTTGTTGCTGTTGTTAACACAACAATGTGAATTCACAGCCACCAGTTCTTTAGCTAGTATTGGGATCCGTGTGCATTGAATATTATAATAATTACTAATATTAGTATTCTATGAGAACTGATCACAGTCCTGTAGTAGAACAGGTGAATGACCTTTCTGTAGGGCTGTCTTTTCATTTTATTTTCCTCTCTTTTGCATGTGGCAGAGATAACAAGGCTGTTGATAGGTTAGACCTATTTTCTCAGTCTGCTGTGGGGCACACTTTGGGGATGGAGTTGTAAAGGACTTAAATGAGTCTATTAAAATTAGAACAATTAACCAGTGGAACAACCTGCCTCCAGAAGCGGTGAATGCTCCAACACTGGAAGTTTTTAAGAAGAGACTGGACAGCCATTTGTCCGAAATGGTATAGGGTTTCCTGCCTGAGCAGGGGGTTGGACTAGATGACCTCCAAGGTACCTTCCAACTTTATTATTATTGTTATTGTTATTGTTAATAACATACAATAAATGTCTCATTTTAGGAAAAATGTACAGTTAAAAATGGACAACTTGTCCCAGATTTCAACAAAGTTGGTCTGGAAGTACAAAATGACTACGGGGCCATCTGTAGTCTGTAAGATGCTTATCCCTGGGATACACAGTGGTTCCTTAACCGTCCAATGAAAGGACAGACAGATATTCTTTATTACAGATACTGATCAATCAACATATAAACAGCAAAACACAGAGAACAAGATAACACATATTTTAACAATAACTCCTTAACCCTGATTGGATTTTTCTGCTGATCATTATTTACTGTAGTATGTTTAGGGCAGATTAGAATTAGTAGCAGGAGGAGGACGAGAATATTTGAATATGAATAACCAATTTCTTAGTATGGCTGAAGTGATCATTCTCAATTTTGTAGCATGTGATTTCTTAATTTGTTATAATATGGAAAGAAAATATATCCAGTTTTTAAGGGTTGGAGCTTCTTATAGATTTTAAAAGCAAAAAGGAATCAAGCATACCAAAATTTCAAATATCCTGTGTAACAGGTACATTGTTATAGTCAGAGTTCTTAATAATAATAATAAAAACATAGCTGGAATAATAATAAAAATGTAGCTGGAATAATCCATTTGGAGAGGTAAAGCTACATCCTTATGATGAATGTTTAAATATTCAATTTTTATTTATCTTCCAGTTCAGTTATACCTGACAGTGACTATCTGGTATAGTTTTTAATTGTTTTAATTTTCTAATGTTTGAGGGGTCCTTAGTGCTCTCTGAGCTTGGTTGTTTTCTTGCATACATTTCATTATCCAAGCTAGGTAATATCTAGTGTTTATATATTCCTAATGTTTGTATGATTATTTTACCTTTTGGTTTCCTGATAGTGTTTGTGTTTTAACCATGTAAACTGCCCAGAGTCACATATTGATGGCTATACAAATTCAATCAATAAATCAACTGCTTTCAAAATTCAGAATATAAATTAAGTCTCTACCCATCTTATGACTATTTTTAAAGGGGTAATCTAATTAATACAGTCAGAGAAGAAAACAACATCTTCTTAATCTATAATTATCTATACACTACTAAAACCCTTAAGTCTATTTGTTTGTAATCTTCAAATGGTACATCACAGGGCAGCCATTTTTTAACCAAGGCACCTCAATAAGGTAACTTACAGAATTCCAAGAGCCATTATACCCATGGGAATGAAATTTGGGGAAGGCTATTTCAGTGTTGCTGTGCTGCCTCTAATTCAGCACAGGTACACTGTTACAGTCAGAGTCATGTGATCATCTTTTATGTTCCCTGATAGCTTCCCAGAAGTCAATGGGGAAGCTGACAGAAAATGTAGACTTGATTGTGGATTGGCAGTGCTCCCTGCCAGCTTCTCAAAAGAAAAATCTTTGCTTATGGGAAGCTGGTAGCAAAGGTTTCAAGTCTCCCCTACCCTGAAGTTCTCCAGCCTCTCTTGGGCACGCCGCACACCCTTCCTGACCAGCATCACACTCCCATGGACCCAACATTCAAGGTACGTCTTGCACATACTTGTGTACTTCCCCAACTCACAATGCACTCCCAATGACCTCCCAAACCAGGCAGCACCACTTGCACGCCCAACACCCTTTCTGATCTGCCCCACACTCCTGCATACCATTCCTGCCAGTGCCACACCAGTTGGAGGATGCAAGAGGCATTATACAGATCAGGGAGGGTACACAGGGTGCTTGCGAGGGGCCACACAGATCAGGGAGGACGCATGCTAGGATTTGGGGAGAATATGTGGGGGTATACTAGAACCATTTACATGATAAGGAAATATTACTGGAACAATGACCCAATGGGATACAGGTTGTCTAGTAACATTTAAAAGTTATAGGAAAACTGCATATTTTGGGATCATGGCCTAGATTTTTGCAAATTACAGTGACATTTTAAAAGTTTTTACCTGCATACATTCCTAAATACCAGGGAAGATCCAGAGTTTCAGTGATATTTTGCCCACCATATTCCATCTTAGTGATATTTAGCATTACTTGATGGTTTGCCCTGTGGACACATGGAGAGAATATATTTCAAACAAGTTTGCAAGCACATGAGAACATATTGGTTGGACTAAGTCTCTTTAAGTTTCAAAAAAGCAAATGCTCTCAAGCAGCTCACTTTGTAGTCAAAGTGACTGTAGTCCTTCTTCAATTTTAGTCTGTAATTTCTGAAATAATAAACCATATGTGGACTTCTGCTATTATATGTTAAATAAGGAAGAGGAAAATCAATGTGAAGATACCACTTGTTTTGGCAATATTATGTGATTCATAACATTTAATTTTGCCCTGGAAATAAATACAAAAAAAACAGAGTTTGTTCCAAATTAATGAAACATTTGCATTACCTTTTAACAAATAACAATGTACGGTAGCATAGAGCACAGAAATCTAATACAATTGACAACACTGAATTGTTTTTAAAAACAGTTGTGTATCATGTAGAATTTAAAATGCTAAAATATTTTAACTCTATCCCAATCTGGGATCTTAAGGTTTTTTAAACAGATGCCAAGGCACTTCTCTACTTGGATTGTCTCAAAGCTTGGACACCCCATGATGGATTGGAACATACGGCCTATATAAAACAAAATCTGTAAATGCAAGATTTCTTTTATAAACTGCATTTTTCATTCACTGAAAATTCATTTAACTGAATCAATAACATATTGTCAAGAAGAAGCTAAGGCTAAAACATGCATGTTAACAGGATACTAAAATCTTTAAAGATTTTATACTGGTATTTGTCATCAACAATTTCATTTACTGAATTTTCTCTTACATATTCTGTGTGCTTTGTTTTGTTGTTTCAAAGGTATTTTTTAAACTTTGAATGTGTACTTTATTTCATTATTTCATGCATAATTTCAAATATTTTTCTACTGTATATAATACAAAAGTCTTCATTTTTTCATTTGCTGCTTTCTTAAAAGTAATCATCTACATTAGGGGTGTCAAACTGCCGGCCCACGGGCCGGACATGTCATCCGGAAGCTGCGCCCACCCCATTGCCAGCAATGGCAAAACCGTCCCGATACGTTGCGTGATGTCATGTGACGTCGCAAGTTTGACATGTCTGATCTACATGATTTATATAGAAACAGTCACTCACCAGTAAGAAAGCCACCAATCCTGAAGCACATAAGTAACCTAAAACAGTTAAAACAATTGTTTTAGAATTTATTTTGGATTATTTAATGCCTTGTGGTTTAAACTCAAAACATGTTTCAAATATTATAAGCTATCCGTGAGCCTTTTCTTTTTAGATGTACATACTATTCAAAAAGTAAATACGTGCATGCACATACTTGTATTCAAAAAAATTTAGATTCTTCTAGCCAAATTGTATTTTTTTAATAAGTCGACAGAAGCAACTGTTCACAGTGTGAAGTTAAACACAATACCTAAGGGTGCTTTTTCAAAAGGCAACTGGGTTTTCTTTATTTTTGCCAGAAGACGTTTCACTTCTCATCCAAGAAGCTTCTTCAGTTCTGAAGTGAAGAGAACTGAAGAAGCTTCTTGGATGAGAAGTGAAACATCTTCAAGCAAAAAGAAAGAAAATCCAGTTGCCTTCTGAAAAAACACCTTTGGGACAACCATGACCCGGATGACTGAGAATCTCCATAGACTTACATATTTTTATAGCCTTCAAAGGCCTTCCCCATTTTAGGTTATTAGACTTAGCATTAAAATTTTTGTAAAGAGATTTTAATGTTTCAATATTATAGTCCAATACTGTGATATCAATGCTAGTTTTTGCTATTTTTATCTTTCATAAGATTCAGTGTTATTATTAAAGCACCTTATGCTAATCTATGACCCAAATAAAGATTTGATGGACTGATACCTCCAAATCAATCTTGAAGAAAAGTAAAGTTTCTGGAATCCCTTTCACAGACCTCTGCACTTGAATATTATTAAGGTGACCAACTTTTTTACAATGAAAAGGAGGACACAAATAAATTGAAGAAAAAAATATCGTAAATAAAAGAAACATTTTATTCATTGCAACAATAATACAAAATACACTATAATATGATAAATGCATAATAAAAAACATTTGTAACAATAACATTTTATATTGTAATTATGCTTACATGCTGGGCCCCCGCCTGCAGCCGTCCTGCCAGCACTGCTGCCCTGCCTTGTAGAGCGGGCCCTGTGACTCCCATAGCATGGGGGGCAGCCGGCCCCGCCACCCCTCACACCCCTGCCCACAGAAGCCCCGTCGCCCCTGCCTCTTGCACCCGCAGCCATTATTGCCCTAGCAGGGCCGAAGATCAAGAGAAAGTTACCATGGCATTGCTACTCCAGTCTCCTCCAGGTATCTTCGGGACTAACTAGGAGATGGTGTAGTTGGGTAGCAGGGAGGGGTGCAAAGTTCCTGCCAATTCGCCAGACAACTTGCATGTGCAAAGTTTGCCAGCTGGGTGTTTTGGCATGCTCAGCAGCAATTCCTATTGGCTTTCGAAAGCCAATAGTGGGAGTAGCCCAGCTCATGCAAAAGTTGAAAAAAAAACCACCCAAAAAGGTGCTGGAACGCCATTCTGAGCGTTCTATGAGAAAAAAAAAGCCCTGCAGATTAATCTTCAAATATCGAAAAGGAGGACATGTAGGAGGACACTTTTTGAGGGAGGACAGAACTCACAAAAGGAGGACTGTCCTCCCTAAAGGAGGACGGTTGGTCACCTTAATATTATTGAAGATATTCAGAGAAGTCTCAAACATCCCGTAAAACAACAGACTCTTCTGAAGGGCTACCAAACTTCTGCCCTTGGCATATTCACTGTTTTTACTCTCAATCTGTGCACAACTGCACATAAGCAGCAACTGTGCATTCAGATTTGCAGAAAAATATTGTATTTAACTTTGCGCAATGCTGTATCAGCTTCCATTCATTAGAGATTAATTTAAACATAGAATTTGACCTGGATTGCCTCAAATTTTTAGTATACTTTAACTGCATATGCTAGAAATGCCCCCAAAAGCATTCTGGATTCTCAGACATCCCAGACTTCATTTTATTTTCACTTCAGCTCCCCTCAGAATGTCCTGAACAGTCTTTTTTTCAAGCGGACAAGCCATCTTCTCCTTTATGAATTGAGAATTAGCAGGATCCTGCTATCTTTCTCTCAGTATAGGTCAGCAGCCAAGGAACCTCTCTACCCATAGTAGCCCTGAAAAGAAAATGATTATCTGCTTCTATTTTAATTTCATACAATAATGTAATGCCTTAAAAGATTGCTTTTTGCCATGTATCTTACTCAAGAATAGAAGATTAGTTGATAATCCTCACAATTCTCAGAATCCAGGCACAGCATTTTCTTAGCAATATTGCCTCACTCACTGTGGTTGGGACTATTTCTTTCTCAAAACAGTATTAAGCTTTTCCAAGCTTCCTCTTTCAGCTAGTGGTAGAAGTAGTAGTACAAACAGAAAATATAAGCTAAGTAACAGTAAGCCAAGCTAAGCATCTTATCTGCAATCTTACACCACAATAACTGAAAGTTACCTCATCAACTATGACTACATGCTAGACTGGACACATCAGTTACATATTGTAGGAGTTGTGACATCCAAATAAAGAAAACTCAAAAATGCCTAGTAAAAATTTCTCTGTTTGCCATCAAGCAGTTATCAGCACTATCTAAAAACTAAAATGGAATAAATTGTAAAGCAGAGGTTCTCAATAGTATTACATATATTATAGAGGGGAATCAGAAGTAGCCATGGTGGGATTCAGAATAAGGCTTTAATTGAGTCTTAAAATTCCAAGTTGGCACCCTAAGAAGGGAATGCTGCAAAGAAAATATTATTTTTTTCACTATTGTAGTGGAGCATGGTAATACAATTCCTTGAATTTAGTTACATATGACTAAGTTTACTCATTCTGATTATTATTCTTAATTCAACTGTATTATTTCCAGGTCAGTATCAACTGAGCTTGAATTGTGAAAGAAACTGATCGAAGTCGCAGAATGACTGAATCAATAGCTTTAGCCTCTCAATATCACAAAGTTATCAAGACCCAGAGTGGAATGGAAAGCCACTAAGTCAAAGCTCATACCGCTAACATCCTACTACAGTCCAGAAGTAAATAATTTATAATGTTTAAACATTAGTTTATGCTAACTACTTATGTATTTTTAAAAGTATTTAAAATTCTACTGCAATGTCTGGAAGTCTAATTTCTATAAACTTTTTTCCTTTTTGTAATTAAATTGTATAGAATGTTTTCTTTTGAAATTCCGTATGAAAAGGAACAGATAGATCACTGCTCCATCTTTACAGTAAATGAATCTCAAGCTCATTTACAATCTTGACCCCTTTATTTCAAAGATGAAAATATATCTTATATGCATTAAATGTTGCTAATTCACTTCATACATACAGAATAGGAAAGTGTATGTGCTAGACTACTAAAAACAATTATCAGTTACATTTGCCTTTTTGATCCCTAAAAAAAACTTACCTGTGCCAAAATATTGAGAACACAAAGTATAAAAATTACAAAATAATTTGCACCAGCAGAAAAGTACTTCTTATAAATAGTAAAGCCAATTTTTCCTTCTGATCGACTTTCTTCAGGCAGTGCAGTTAGGACTGGCCCCATCTGCAATACAATGGGAGTAAAAATTAAAGAAAGGGATTTTGTTAAGACTAATTTCTACCAAAATAAAAGGTTCTAATACAGGTTTTTTAATCACCTTCCCCAGTCTGGGGAAATAATGCATCTAGTTTAATTTAAAAGATCAACCTTTAATGTGAACTATCAATTATGTAATTTAAGCTGATTCTTTTATATTATTTTTTGATTGCGTTAACAAAATAACACATATTTATGCATATTACAAATTCTGTGCCAGAATGTTAAATCCAGTATGGTTCAGAAGAAGTTCTGCTTATTATGAAAAGAAAGGACAATTTGTTCAAATTTTTCATTCGTTCTTCTCAATCTTTAATGTGAAGTTTAGTGTTAGGTAATTAAACGCCTGAAATTAAAATGTATACTCTTAAGAGTATAAATGTTCTTTGCTATGAGAATTTCTACACAGCAAAAATGTTTACGCCAATGGAAAATGTTTCACAAGACCTTGGAATATGATGCGTTAAACTTGCACATTTTGGCATAAATAAGCAACAGTTTCTTGTCCTACAAATAAAAACACTGTTCCACTTTCAGACTGTTTTATATACTTGTGTCATTTACTCACAGCTGGTGATCCAGCAGTTCCATCTTTCTGTGACTGAACTGAAGAGTCCAGCGACCACAAGGAAGACTGAGAAAATGTACGAATCCTCGTCAGCTGGTCGCTGGGTGTTCCTGGAGATGATGGTTGATCATCCTCCTCAGCTTTTTTCAAAAGAAAAGCAAAATCTACTCCAGATTTAAGAAAGTCCAAGAAGGTACCTTTCCCTACCTCCTTACCCTAGAAAGAAAATACATAGAGACTATAATGTACAGTATGCTTGTAAAATAGCCAACTATGGTAGTAATTTTTTGGATAACTATCAGCTGCCATCCAAGCTTGCACTTCCACCAAAAAGAAGGAAGAATCTTTTAGTAAAAGTCCTCCTTTTTCTTACAACCTGTTTTAAATAATCAAGATACATTTCAAGAAAGTGTGGAATCACTGTGGCAAAAAAGGTCGTAAAATGGGGCAAAACTCACTTAACAAATTTCTCATTTACCAATATAAATTTTGGGCTCAATTGTGATTGAGAACACCTCAATGAAAAATAAAGTGTCAATAGGGCAATAGCAAAGTTAATAGTTATTAGATATTGGTAGCAGATGAATAATCTGTTGTTGTTGTTTTTGGAAAGATGGCAAAGTTTTGATTAGCAAAAATAATTTCTTTATAAAATTATAAAAAAATAATTATTATAAGTCTTGTAAGTAAATTAGAAATACATATCCTTTCTGATATCTGGTTTGTATAAGGATATATGGAACAATTAAAATTTGTTAATTGGCATTTGTTTTAAGATAATTATAGAGAACAGGATATTTTGCCTAGATAATTTATTTACTTTATTTCGTTCACAGGTTTTTATACTGCTTCAGTCAATACGAATATAAGTGGTACATTGCAAAGCACCATAACAATATTTTATTTATTAGTGACATTAGAAGAGAGAAGATTTTAGATTATGTCTGTCTGATTTTTATTGACTTTATTTGCATTTTTATTTTTAATTCATTTAATTTTGAATAAAAGAGAAAATAATACTGTAGTCATGGAACATAAACAGTCTAAATTCAAGGTGCCTACATCTCGCTGACACTGAAGAAATTTCAGCATTCAATGTCTTACATATTTACAAATTTCAGCTTTACAATTTTTTATTTGCAGCTGTAAAGTCAAAATAAAGAGCACATTTTTCCCATGCTCGCTAGAAGGAAGTTATTATTATTAGTAGTAGTAGTAGTAAAATTTATATGCCGCCCAATCCCTAGGGACTCAGGGCGGCGTACAAAATTAAAACAAGTATAACAATTAAAATTGAATACATTCACAGCATGTCCCAATCAGATGCCGCCCCCCCTGGGGACATCAACCCCAGGCCTGCCGGAACAGGAGAGTTTTAATAGCTTTCTTGAAGGCCGGCAAGGTGGGAGTAGTTCGAATCTCGGGGGGAAGTTGATTCCACCACGTCGGAGCCACCACAGAAAAGGCCCTTGCCCAAGGGCCCGCCAGCCAACATTGTCGGGCCGACGGGACCTGAAGGAGGCCCAGTCTGTGGGACTTCACCGGTCTCTGGGAACTATGCGGCAGTATGCGGTTCTGTAAGTAACCTGGTTCTAAGCCATGAAGGGCTTTAAAGGTGACAACCAACACCTTGAATTGCGTCCGGAGACCCACAGGAAGCCAGTGCAGCTCGTGGAGGATAGGTGACACGTGGGTGTACCTTGGTGCACTCACAATCACTCTCGCGGCTGCATTCTGAGCCAACTGCAGCCTCCGAACGCTCTTCAAGGATAGCCCCATGTAGAGCGCATTACAGTAGTCCAGTCTTGAGGTGACAAGGGCATGAGTAACCGTGAGTAGAGCCTCCCGGTCCAAATAAGGCCGCAACTGGTGCACCAGGCGAACCTGGGCAAAGGTCCCCCTGGCCACAGCCAATAGATGTTGTTCCAAATTTAGCTGTGAGTCCAGGAGGACACCCAAGTTGCGTGCCTGCATTGAGGGAGGTAGATTTTTTCCCCCCAGGACTAATGATGGACTAGCAGAATGACCCTTGGGGGGCAAGACCCAGAGCCACTCGGTCTTGTCAGGGTTGAGTCTAAGCCTGTTCACCCCCATCCAGACCCTCACATCTTCCAGGCACCAGCACATCACGTCGACTGCTTCACTGAAAGGACACGGGGTGGAGATATATAATTGGATATCATCCGCATACTGATGATACCTCACCCCGTGTCGCCGAATGATCTCACCCAGCGGTTTCATGTAAATGTTAAAAAGGAGGGGGGACAGGACTGAGCCCTGAGGCACCCCATAATCGAGGCGCCTAGGGGTCGATCTCTGTCCACCCGCCAACACCGACTGCGACCTGTCAGAGAGTAGTAGGAGAACCACCGCAATACGGTGCCGCCCACCCCCACCTCTCCGAGACGACGCAGAAGGATACCATGGTCGATGGTATCGAAAGCCGCTGAGAGGTCAAGAAGCACCAAGATAGAGGAATGACCCCTATCCCAGGCTCGCCAGAGGTCATCGGTCAGTGCGACCAAAGCAGTCTCAGTGCTGTAGCAGGGCCTGAAGCCAGATTGAAAAGGGTCCAGATAATTCAATGAAAAGGGTCCAGATAGCAATTCAGCTGCACTCCTCAAGATGGACTATGCTGCTTCTGATTCGGTCTAGGTCAAGGGTAGGCAACTTTGGCTCTTTTATGACTCGTAGACTTCAACTCCCAGATTTCCTGACGTCCACGAGTCATAAAAGAGCCAAAGTTGCCTACCCCTGGTCTAGGTTCAATTGGTCAATTTTTTGAAACTCTGCCTCCTTTTGAAATGTAGCTGTTGAGAATCAAAAATCAAAGTCCATTTGAAACATGGTTCCTGCTTCTTTTCTAATCTAAACAAGTGCACAGTATTATATGTGTGGCGTACATGCAAAAAGATCAATAGGAAACTAAAGCCCCAAGAATACTGAAGTAACTAATTTGACATTTGTAGCTGAACACCATCAACAGATATATTTTACAGTATCTTCTTTTATTTTCCAGCTAGGGGTTTAAAAAAATCCTGATCTATCATTCAAAACTGGGATTTTAATTTGTTTAGTTCTGTAAATGTAAATGTATAGTTTTGCATGCCATGTAGACAAATTACATGTAACCTTGCAAGACTGACCATACTATTATGCATATTTATAATTCTTCAACTTTAAATATTAAGGATACAGAACACAAACTAAACATTGCCAACCCTCCAAAGATTATTTTTATTTTCACCAACCTCTTTTAAAATTAAGATCTGGCTTGCAGCTCGTAAATATTGCAACTGGTGAGTCACTAAAATGCACACTTTTTTATGCAAAGTCTGGCAAATACACCTGCAAAAGAAATGAAACTTAATAAAATGCTGACTTCTTACAAACAGTAGAGCAAGTTGCTTTAAAAATAATTGTTAAAGGCTCCTCTTTATACGATAATTAGAAAAGAACTAAATAGCACTGTTCATCAGTATCTTATCTGAAACTAAACTCTGGCTCTTGTTCTACTTACTGATATTCAGCGTCAGGAAAACAAAATGGAATGTAAACCGCCTCAAATAATAACTGGTCACAAGAAAAACTCCAGTCTAGGACAACCATTACAATGTTGAACAGGAGAAGAAACTGAAAGGAGGAGGAGGAGGGGAGTCCTATATTCTAAATTATTGATATAATTTTACTGAACACTTTATGGGATGTTCCTGTTCTACCCTGTTCCTAAAACCACAGCAAAAAAGAGTGGATGAATCCTAGCCCCAGGCACCAGATCTGTCTAGAAAGTTCTCTTGCGGTCATACATGAGTCTGAAGCTCTGTTCCAGTACGATCATATTGATTTTTGGTGGAGCTTTACAAGGAATTCAAAAGAAGTGCTTCGCAAAGCACCTCTTTCTAAGATGTTAAAACAGCAATGTCCTTTTGCAAAGCTTATTTCAGCGTTCCCCAGCGTTTCCAGCTGTGTGGATTGGCAGGGGGAGGAAGAGGCTGCCAAGCGTGCATGCACATAGCTCCATTTCCACAAGCAGCATGCACACACACCTGGCGCTCACGCAAATGGAGCACGCGCACATGCACTCACCCGCAAGTGATACCTGTGCACACACACTCACCAGCTGTTTCTACAGCCCAGTTGCAAACCCCTCACAGCCCACTAGTGGGGCCGCAGCCTACAGGATGGGAACACCTGGCTTACAAGACTGCCAAACAAACTCTTCATGCTTCCTCCGAGACTCAGCAAAGCAAAGAAGCTGTGTGGGGAGACACATTCAGAGACAATTGGCAACAGTTTCTGAAGCAACCCCACAAGCCTCCCGTAGGACACAACTGCTTGCTTTCTGTGAAGAGAACTGCTTCATTCACACTGTCACAACTGCAGTGGTCTCACAATTCTAATTTTCTATTTTAAGTTTTTTAGATTTCAGCAATATTTACATATATTCCAATGTACATTTGCAATGCAAATTTATACAATATAAGTGTGATGTCCATGAGAGAGTTTAACTATACCAATTTCCCTGAAAAATGTTAGATCTAAGTAGAAACTTCTTATGGCTATAGGAACATCTCAAAATATATGATTGATGGTGTTACTCTGAGATATTATATTATACAAATCTAATTTGTATCTCTCAACACAAGGTAACAGTTAGACTCTGAATAAAAATTAATAGCTGGATATTTACAGTCATTACATTAAATTTGCTTTAAAATGTAATAAAAGAAGAAATAATAAAATTGTCACATTAAATCTTGGAAAATGAACACACATACTTTACATACCAAATTAAAGCCTGAGTTTTCAATGTTAGATGATAATGTGTATTTTTAAAATGAGAAAGTCACGAGTATGGTACAATAATGTATCATATCTTTTATAGCAAATTCTAAATATAGGGATATTTATGCATGAGGGCTTCTCTTCAATCATTACCAAAAAAAAATCAAGAACGTGATCCTAAATCTGGCAACCATACCATGTTTTGCAAATGATATTACTCAGTTTACAAAGAGCTAAATAAAAATAATTAATTTCATAACTGATTCCCTTCCCTGGCACTGATATGATACATTTTTATTGTAAATGGTCTTGAATCTACAATAATTGGCAATCTTCTTCTTTCCAGCGTTATTCCTGCACTATGGCAGGGTTTGCTTGTTGGCAAAGCCATTTCCATTTTGCTCAATCCAGGGAGTCTTCAGGGCTGATGCCCATACATTTAGAATAGAATTCTTTGTTGGCCAAGTGTGATTGGACATACAAGGAATTTGTCTTCAGTGCATAAGCTCTCAGTGTACATAAAAGTTATAAGTGGTAAGTCCTGATCATTCATCATAAATTGTAAGATACAACATTTAGTAATAGTCATAGGATACTAGATAAGCAATCAACATAAATCATACTAGGAAACTAAATAAAACAATATAAATTGTAAGATACAAGCAACAAAGTTGTAGTCATAAGTAGATAAGGAGATAGGTAATAGGAAAGATGGGAAGAATAATAGTAATACAGCCTTACTAAATAGTTTGACAGTGGGAATTAGTTGTTTAGCAGAGTGATGGCGTGGGAGGGAGGGAACTGTCCTTGTGTCTAGTTGTTCTGGTGTGCAATGCCCTATAGCAGGGGTGTCAAACTCGCAACGTCACGTGACGTGTCGCAACATATCACAACTTTTTTGACATTGCTGGCAATGGGGTGGGCACGGTTTTGTTATGACACATCTGGTCTGTGGGCCAGCAGTTTGACACCCCTTGAGGGTAGAAGTTGTTTCATGTCCACCTTGATACGATCTAATAATAGCTGCCAATATAAAATTTAATACTAAAGGGTATGGTGCAAGAGATGAAGAGACAATAAAACCAGGAGTTTGGGATTACTCTGAAGATATTATAATTTTGCCTAACTTATCTAACAATTAATATTCAATCATGTTCCAGAATTGGATGATTTCAACAGAAGAAATCTAATTAAAAAATAACCACTTCTCACAAAGTACTCTGAATCATGCCAGTGGAACAACTATTGCTGCAACTGTTAATTCAATGCATACACTGCTTCTCAATGAGAATTTTCAGTCCTATATAAAAAAGATTAATTTATAAACTCTATGTCTCAAACATGGAATGACCACAGAACTACAGTATATATTATTGCTACAAAATCCATGCACACAAATCTTGTTTGGGTAGCGAGAGTAGACAATAGAACAGAAACTATATGGCAAGGTAATGTTGGGAGATCTCCTTCTGGGCACACAACCTGGTGTACCTTTTCATTCTATTGGCCACTAGTGTCAACAGATTTAATCAACAATACTGTAGGGCAGCGGTTCTCAACCTGTGGTCCATGAACCCCTGGGGGGCTGTGATATCGTCACAGGAAGTCCACAAGGACTTGAAGAAATGTTATGATTTAAATCTTGAATTAAGTCTTGGGGGGTCCATGGCCATGGTCTGTGGCCACAAAAAGTATTTAAAGGGGGTCTGTGGTAAAGAAAAGGTTGAAAACCACTGCTGTAGAGGTTTCCTTACTTGAGCTCCTTTACATGCCCTCTTGGACAATTCCTCTATTATTTTCATTTCTCTCAACATTCATATTCTGCTGCATAAACCTGCTGAACTCCCAAGTTATTTCTTCTGTCAAACTACAGCACAGGGAAACTGATATAAAAATGGCAGATAGAAAATTATGTATTGTTGGTATATGACACCAGAGAAATTGTCCAGAATACATAAAGACACCTCAGATATCTGCTGAAAATGTGAATAACATGAAGAGACCATTTAGCATGCGCGACGCACACATAAAAAAATTTGTTCTGTGAATGAGATGGGCAGTTCCTAAGCTGGATAAATAACTATGCTAAAAATTTTGGATTCAAATATATACATTGAAACAGAGGATTTTAAAGATTAATATACAATTGAAGGCACAACTTCTGTTTTTAGGATTGATGGACAAATATTTAGGAAAGAGCCGTAGAGGATTACTTTGAACTATGATAACTTCAGTGAGACTATTATACGCACAAAAATGGAAAGATTTGGCATTACCCAATGTTTGGTGAAATTGACAGAACTTTTGGAGATGGACAAATTGATTTCTTTAATTAGAGAAAGGTAATTAAACTTGTGAAACTTATGGACATTTTACATGAGAAAGAAAATGATTTTGTGATTTGTGCTTTTGATGATTAGAAAGAATAAATTGTAGATAGAAGGGAAATATGCAATGGTGGGATTCAAATATGTGAACACCTGGTTCCCTATGTGGATGCCGCTTCCAGAACTCCATTTTGGGCCTGGGCAACAAAAAATTAGCTACCAGTTCTGCTGAAGTGGTGCGAACTGGCTGAATCCCGCCACTGGAAATATGATAAAATTGGAGAGTAATTTGATTAGAACAGTGGTGGGATTCAGCTGGTTCGCACCACTTCGGCAGAACCGGTAGCTAATTTTTTGTTGCCCAGGCCCTTTCTAACGCCGCGACCCCATAATACAGTTCCCCATGTTGTGGTGATCCCCAACCACTTATACATCACCGGGTGCCAGGGGCGTGGCCAAAGAAAAGGGGGAAAAATGGCAGACAGCCTTGTTTGGTGACCCCCGTGAAATGGTCGTTCAACCCCAAATGGGGTCCCGACCCACAGGTTGAGAACCACTGCTCTATAGTGAACTATAATGACATCAAAAGAAGACAATTAATTAGTGCTTGTGGCTAAACTGGAACTAAGCAAAGAAGCGGCCTTTATTTTTATTTTATGTATTATTACATTTGTTTGCCACCCATCTCGCATTCATTGTATCATGTAGGCTGCAAATACAGAAAAAACATAGAAAGTTGTATCACCTAAAATTACAAGCTATGAATGTCTGCAATATGCAAGCATAGCCTTAAAGTCTTTCAAGATTAAATAGCACAATAAAGAATATCTGTCATTGTTTATTTTGCTTATTTTGGCATATGGTACAAAAGGCAGATTGCTCACAAGATTGAGAAATGGATTCTGGAAACAAACAGAGACCAACAGCATTTAATTGCCATGGCAAATTGAAAAAGCAAACACTGCAGCAGTCAAATCCATCCTTCCTCATACTGTACCTATTGTGGCCCACCTAGCAGCATTTTTAGCTGCTAATATAGTACTAGAATAAATTTATTTTTAAGCTAAGGCCAGCAGCAGTTTGACATCATTAGACTGAAAAAGTTAAATTTAATTTTAAGTTTATGCTGCACAGAAAACTCACAGTTTGCCTCTGGTTTATTTTATTAATAAGCATATACCACTGATCTCCAGGATGATGCAGAAAAGTAAAAAAGGAATTAACTTGTAAATATAGGTTGTTCTTGACTTGCAACAGTTCATTTATTGACTCTTCAAAATTACAGTGGCAGTGAAGAAAGAGATTTATGACTGTTTTTCACATTTATGATCATTGCAGCGTCCCCATTGGTCACGTCATCAAAATTCAAATGCTTGGCAACTGACTCATATTTATGACATTGCAGTGTCCCGGGGTCACGTGATCGCCTTTTGTGACCTCCTGACAAGCAAAGTCAACAGGGAAGCTGGATTCACTTAAGAACCATGTTACTAATTTAACAACTGCAGAGATTCACTCAACAACTATGGCAAAAACAGGTCATAAAATGGGGCAAAACTCACTTAAGAAATGTCTCACTTAGCAACCAAAATGTTGGGCTCAATTGTGGTCATAAATCGAGGACCACCTGTCACTTACTTATGCCATCATACATACTGTTTGCCCCACATAGGCTTTGAAATCTGGAAAGCTAGATCAGTATTAAGAAAAACCTTCCAGATTCTTATAAATGAAATATAACAGCAGCATATATAATCTGAATTTATCAGATTCTGCATGAGGTCATGGCAAGAAAAACTGTGCCTCATTATTTAAACAATTCAACCTGTCCAAATGAATGGAAATCATTTAAGATCCAAATATGTCTTTTAGGATGTTTCACCAAGGCCATCACTATGGACTTGTGGTTGAATTCCAGAGTTTTAGAAACAATTGACTAAAATTTGCTGTGCTTTTCTTAACAAATGAGAATCTGGAAAACTAACACTCCTTCATCCACATAGATAAGACTGAATACTGATAAATCAATTCCAGCTTTTATCATATGCAAGAATAACCATTATCTTACACCAGTGGTGGCGAACCTATGGCACAGGTGCCAGAGGTGGCACTCAGAGCCCTCTCTGTGGGTACCCGCGTTGTCGCCCCAGTCCTAAGCCTTCAGCTGGGTTTTAAAAAACCTTTTCACTTTAGGCCTCCACCGCCATGTGCAAAAAAAAAAAAAAAAAAAAAGGTTTAATCAGTCAATTTCAACTTCTCGCAGGAAAAAAAAGTTCTTGCAAAGTTGAAATTGATTGATTGAACTTTTTAGTCCCACCCAGTCTGCCATTACCACTGCAACCATGCCCACCCAATTGGCCACGCCCAACCAATGGGCCACACCCACCCGGCACTCGACAATGCATAAGTGGGTTTTAGGTTGCAGTTTGGGCACTCAGTCTCTAAAAGAAAGAAGAAAGGAGAATCATTGAAGAGAAATGTAAATGTTTAAAAGGTTACATACTTTTCAAACAAATGCCTGCTAACTTCTGCATCCACTGCACTTAATGGATCATCCAACAGATAGATGTCGGCATCCTGGTACACAGCTCTAAAAATAGACAAGTAAGGAACAATTAGGTTGCTTCTAAAATAAGTGTGTATTTTTTAGCAGCAAAGTTTCACCTATACAGCGAAAGGCAGGATCTCTCATCTGACATCGTTTCCTCTTTCCTGCCCTTGTGCAGCTATTGGGTCATTACTGCTGCCCCCATATATTTTTGAGGGATATAGCTTGCCGGGCATCCTTCTCAAATAAGTCAGTTAGAGCAGGGGTCCTCAACCCCTAGGCCGCAGCCTGTTCAAAACCGGGCTGTGGGAGAAATGGATAAATGGATAAGCGTGTGCAAATGAAGCTCCACTCACGTGAGTGACAGGGAAGCACAGGCACGCATGTGAAGCTCCACTCGCGTGAGGAGTTTCCTGCACAAGTGCAAGTGCTTGCTGCTCACACAAGTGCCTTTCATTTGCATGAGTGGAAGACGCGGGTACATGCACACTGCTTGCACAAATGGAGCTGTGCACATGCGCATGTGCCTGCTCCACAAACGCATTCCCCCCCCCAACCAGGCCGGACCGCCAAGCTGAAAACATTGGAGACCACTGACTTAGAGAATCCTACAATAAATGGCCTTATGTACGAGTAAATAAAAGCTTATCTATCAGAAATAAAACTGATGTCATTTCCTGGTTCTTATAGCTTTGAGAAGAGTTTAAAATTTAAAATTAACCCTATTTTTGAAAAAAGACAGAAAATGCCAGTCTTTCGTTTTAACCTTAAACAGTCACATCCCAAAACAAGTAAGAAATATTGATAAAATCCTGAAACACATCGGAATTGTTGTTAAGTGGCATGATCACATGATGATTGTTAAACAAGGATTATTTGTAGTAAGCACTTGGATGTTTAGAAGCTTCTAGTTAAAAGGGTGGAATAGCACTGCCATTCATCACCCACTATGAAACCTATCAATTTCTAATTTGAAGTCCTATAAACATCCAACATCTGATCACGCGCGGGAGCATCTTTTTCACAAAAGCCATCCTAGTGTTTGTATTGGGTGAAGAATAAGGGAGAATGCTGGAACTCCATGCTAGGTACCATGCTGGCTTTTAATAAAGGCATGTTAAATTTCTCTTTTTGTGAATGTCTAAATCAGGACAGGTAATCCTTAAGTTAAAACCACAACTGAGCTCAAAATTTCTGTTCTTAAGTGAGACATTTGTTGTGAGTTTTGCTCCTATTTTATGACCTTTCTTGCCACGGATATTAAGTGAATCACTGCAGTTAATAAATTAGTAACCCAGTTGTTAAGTGAATCTGGCTTCCCCATTGACTTTGCTTGTCAGAAGGTTGCAAAAGGGGATCACAGGCCTTGGGGACACAGCAACAGTCCTAAGTGCAAACCATTTGCCAAGCATCTGACTTTTGATCATGTGATCATGGGGATGCTGGAAAGGTTGTAACTATGAAAAATGGTCATAAGTTACTTTTTTCAGTGCCGTTGTAACTTTGAATGGTCAATAAATGAACTGTTGTAAGTCAAGGACTACGTGTAATATGTAGCATTCTTTGCTGTTATTAGGACTTTGATTTCAACAGTTTGATTTCTTTCATTAGCTTGTTATCACTAATTGACACAATTTTAAATTTTTATAGGAGACCTTGAAATGTACATAATTTAGATTTTAGTTTCACCAAATGCATTTGGTATTTAATTGATATCTGCAGGTTCAAGATAGTCTCATGAAATTAAAGTCCACTTTACCTAGCCAGATTAATCCTGGCTTTTTGTCCACCACTCAAAGTAGTTCCTCTGTCTCCAACCATTGTTAGGTCTCCATCTTCCAGCTGGTCAATATCCTATCAAACAGAGAGAATTATTCAAATAAAAATGTTTGCATTTGTCATTTTACTGATTTGAGAACCATCATAAATATTATTCATATGCATATGTTCTGTTCAAAAGGAGAAGTTATTAATGAGAATTGCTTTGTAAGATTTTTCACTCTCTGAAGAAGTGTGTTTGTACAATTTATAAACCACTACAAACTAAATATGAATTTTAGGAAATGGGCAGTTTTCATAATGCCATACAAGATCATAAAAAAGAGACCAACTGCATTTTTAGAAAATGTGTTTTGCAAAAGGTTTTAAACTGTCTGCTTTTCATCCATCTTCAGCCTGACAGCAGCATCATCAAATGCATTTGGTGTATAATATTTTTCAAGTTGCCAAACAAAATTATCTGTCTCTTGGCAATCTATTTTAACGTCCTAGATCAGGGCTTTTCAACCTTTTCACCCATTGTACCACTTTAAGGATATGGCAACATCCAAGTTGCCATAACCTAAAAGTCGCCTAGCAAGGTGTCAAAACCTTGATGACCAAAAAAAAAAAAAAGGAAAAAAGTGATAAAGTACAAGTAGTCCTCAACTTACAACAGTTTGCTTAGTGACTGTTTGAAGTTGCAATGGCACTGAAAAAGTGCCCCCCCCCCAAGCCACAGCCAAGCAAGATACCTGCCTGCCCACGCAGTGGCGCTCTTTCTCCTGTCCGAGGTTTTCATTGTTGTGAGCATTTCTGTTGAGGATTGGCAGTGGGGGTGGGATGGGGGGTGTTTGGCTTTTATTCCCCCCATCTGCTGGGTGATTGCAGCAGGTTTTGGTCACTTCACACAACCCTGGGGCACTGTGACCATCATAAATATGAATCAGTTGCCAAGCATCTAAATGTAAATCACAAGACCCTGGAGATGCTTCAACATTCCAGCTGATCAGCGCTTCTTCTGGGCTCAGCAGAAGCACCAGGATCAGTGCGGAGCTCCAGCTGGATCCTGGCACTGATCCTGCCGCTTCCGCTGAGCCCTGACAGCCCTGTAGCTCCAGCCATCTCTCTCTCAGGCTTGTGCGGTTCTGCCACCAGTTCAGCTCATTCCCCTCCCCCGCTACCACTTTTCTAGGATGGTCACGTACCACCTGCTAGGTGCCAATGTACCACAGGTGGTGCCCGTACCACTGGTTGAAAAGCCCTGTCCTAGATAACACCTGCCAAATCAAAGGTAAAGTTGAAATGTTCTGAAGGACATTCTGTGAAATACAATGTCAGCTTAAGAAGCCAATTTTTGGGAACAATACATCCATTACATTTTTAGGAACAATACATCCATTGCAATTTCTATTTTCACTCTCACAAGTAGGGAATGTGAAAGATCTTCTAATCTGAATTATTTCCTCCTACAATTTATTTCATACCTTCATGGGAAATAGATAAATCTTGAAGTATTACAGCAGGGTGGCCAACCCACAAAATTATCACTGAAGTGAACATTTTAATATGGCAATAAGAAAAAAACCTAGTAAACCCACATATATTATATGAGTCATTACGTTTCATTAAATTTAATTAAAATTAGATTAAATCAAATTTCATGATGTTCTCTGTTCAGCCCCTTAACGAGTGCTGTCCTGACCTCTCATTTAAAATTAAATGGGCCCTCATCCCACAAAGGCCCTGCCTACATGATTATTTATGGATCCAACCAACTTAAATTACAGTTAGACATGGAGTTATTTTGAACAATGTATGATGTCCTATATTTCACAGGCATTTTATCAATTCTTAAACATTGTTTTGTTTTGGATGTTAGGCTGGTTTTTGGGAATCCAAGGGCAACGAGGCTTCCATGAGGGTCCTGTAATTTTCCATGCATAATGTTTTGCCAATTTTCATTGTCAAAAAGTGAAAAACAAAATGTTCAACTCAAAATGTATTTAAAGATGAAGAACTTACTTTTTTAAGAGCACAGGCTCTTAAAACCTTCTCATATTTTTCTTTTCGATATGCTTTTCCAAAGAGTATGTTATTTCTTACTGTGCCAGAAAATACCCAGGGTTGCTGAGAAACGTAAGCTATTTTTCCTTGAACATCTATAAAACCTTTGATTGCAGACAGCTCACCCAGCACAGCACTCAAGAGTGAAGACTAGAAGAATGGAAAAAACAGGTCACAACACACCTAAGATCTTCCATTCTTTTTAGGCATAAGCACAACTTATTTGTATAACTACCACTACTAAAGGTTCCCTTGGTTTTCTTGTTTTGTCATATTGCAGACCTTTGTGCTTCTCCATATAGCTACAGTGTGGGATAGCTACAATGTGGGATTAATCATAGCTAATATTAATTTTGAGTTCCACAACTCATGCTGGATATGTACCTCTGCTCCCATATTATATTTTAGCAAGATAGATAAGACGCAGACTAGCCTTAACCATATTACCTGATAATGGGAAGTTCAGTATTGGTCAATTCTGACAAAGCCCACCGTTACCTCATCTTACTCACTCTACATTATACAAGCTTGGATCTCAACAGATCGAAACCCAGAGAGTGAACAGGGACAAAATGTCTGTTTTCAAATGCTTCAGAATTAACATCTAACAGACAACAGAGCAGTAAAAAAAAAAAATCAAGACTTGCCTTTCCCGCTCCCACGGGGCCAATCACAGTGAGCAATTCTCCTGGTCTGACAGTCAATGAAATGTCTTGAAGTGTTGCCATTTCCATGGTCTATTCGTTTGGGAAGAAATCAATATGGTTTTATTATTTATGCATTTATTTATTTGCTTTCACTAACTGTACACAAATAAACAAAACAGGATTTCCTGTGCTCAGTTGTTCAGTCCCTAGTCATCTCACAAGTAGACTACTGTAATGTGTTCTACATGGGGCTACTCTTGAAGAGCATTTGGAAGCTGTAAGTGGTGCAGAGTGTGGCAGCGCAGGTACATTGGAGGCCCCAATGAAGGGCCCTGTGACACCACTGCTCTGCGAACTGCACTGGTTACCAGTCTGCTTCTGGATGCAATTCAAGGTGTTGGTGATCACCTTTAAACCCCATCATGGCATGGGTCCAGGTTACTTGAGGGACCGTCTCAGTCCACTGGGATTGGCCCATATCCCTCATGCCGGCAGAGGAGGCATACTGCAGGTCCCGTCAGCCCAAGTATTCCAGCTGGAGGGGCCAGGAGGATGACCTTCTCTGCTGTTGCTCCTGCCCTCTGGAACACTTTGCCCCCCGATGTGAGGTTGGCCCCAACATTCCTATCTCTTCGTAAGGGCCCGAAGACGTGGCTGTGCTGGTTGGTTTCAGGTTCCAGTGGGGGATCAGCACAATGGAGGTGGTTGAATAATAACAGATCCCATCTCCCCCCCCCATTTCGCCTACATCCTCCTCCATGTGTCTTTTGTTTTAATGTTTGTTTTTAACTTTTTATATTTTAGATTTTATGTAACTGTAAGCCGTCCAGAGTTACCCCAGGGTATGATGGGCGGCTAATAAATTTTATAAATAAATAAACGTATTTATGAATAAAAATAAAACCGAACAAAAATATATTCTTTGACTCTATTCATTGTTTTATGCATTCAGTCAATCTTGGCTCCTGTTGACTACCTGGACTGGTCCTTGCAGTTTTCCTGGCAAGGTTTTCCAGAAATGGTTTGCCACTGTCTGCTTCCTAGAAAGGGTATGATTGGCCCAAAATCATTCTGTGACTTCATGTCTAAGGCAGGACTGGAACTCACAGTCTCCCAGTTTCTAGCCTGATGCTTTGACAACAAACAATAAACTGGCTCTCACAGTGTCAATTTAGTATGAGAAACAGATTCAAAATGCTACTTCTTAAAATCAGTGTAATAGTTATAGAAATGATTTGAAACCTATTGTATTTTGATTCTAAGACATTTAATTTAATGATAACTATTTAAATGTATAATGTATAACTATCCTAAGAGGACCTAGAGAATTTCTGTGCACAGAAAATCATCCACAATTGATACTTGCCAAAAGATATTCAAAATGATACAATTCAAAATTTAGAAAAGTGAATCTCTCCTTTTGAATAGGTAGCTGCTCCTTTTAAAAATATGTATTTAAAATTAAAGATCCCCACAAAAATTTATAAAATGTTTTAAATTTTTGAAAATGTTTTACAGATACACTTATAGAAATTCCGCACAAAATTCATTCAGTTTAGAAAGTAATCTAATTTAAGAGTATTACTCTTTCCCCAAATGTAAAGTTTAATCACTTGCATCTATCGAGACCCCAAAAATAATTATCTGTGAAATATCACATGGGATAAAAAAATGGAAGATAGCACATACGTTCCTTATAGATATGAAACTGATAATGATTTATAAAATTAATGTTTTTTTCTATTTATACAAACCTAATTCTCTTATAAATAAGAAAACCACAAAGAAAAAATAGAAATAGTATTAATTTTAATCAGACCATAAATTAATATAAGCAGCAAGAAATCAGCACGAGAAAATGTTATTCATGTTCAGAAATAAAAAACGATTGCCATTATACTTTATTGATTTTCTCATCCTCTTTTATTTGATCCAGATACCTTCAATATTCCTAAGCATGATACTTGACTGAATTTAAAGCAATAATCAGGTTTCCAATAAAGGTTGGTATAAACATAATCCATTGTTTCTAATCCTAAAATATTGTTCCACTATGACAGCAGACAGAAATAAGGGGCCATTGGCCTTCTTAAACATTATGCTTTAATCTCCACAAGGTGGCGGAAATAGCTCATTTTATTCCTTTTTACTTTCTGGTTATACAGTCAAGGTTTTCCCTCACTTTGACCTTGCATTGACTTCAACAGAAGCATTCCATTTTCAGCCAACCGCAATGTAACTTACATATAGTTATACAATTTGGAACATGGTTGTCAGAAAAAGAAAACAGAAAAAAACTAGCAATATAATATGTGCTTTGTAAAGAGATATCCACTGAAAAAGGTAACCCTGCAGCACAGGGATCTTAAAAGGAATATCTGACTGAATCTCAGTATACAAGGTACTGTATCTACCAAATCTCTGTTCCTCATAAAAAATGTTTCAAAAAAAAAGGAGGCCTGTAAAGTCCCCAAAAATTAACCAGCTGAAGTAAACATACTAGTTACCATATCTGGCTTTTATAAAGGCATGTTAAAATATCTCTTTTTCTGAATATCTAAATCAGGACAGGTAGTCCTTGACTTACATCTACAACTGAGCCCAAAATTACTGTTGTTAAGTGAGACATTTGTTAAGTAAATTTTGTCCCATTTTACGACCTTTCTTGCCACAGCTGTTAAGTGAATCACTGTAGTTGATAAGTTAGTAACCTGGTTGTTAAGTGGATCTGGCTTCCCCATTGACTTTGCTTGGAAAAAGGTACCAAAAGGGGATCATGTGACTTTGGGCACACAGCAACAGTCATCAATATGAACCAGTTGCCCAGCATCTGAATTTTGTTCACATGACCAGGGGGATGCTGCAACAGTCATAAGTGTGAAAAAAAGTTCATAAGTTGCTTTTTTGAGTGCTGTTCTAACTTTGAACGGTCACTAAATGAACTCTTATAAGTCGAAAACTACCTGTAGTGAGATTAATAATGATTTACCTAAACTAAATGTGAAGATGTTTTGAAAGACCTAAAAAGAGCTAATATAGGTAGTCCTTGATTTACAACAGTTCATTCAGTGACCATTCAAAGTTACAACACCACTGAAAAAAAATGACATGACCATTTTCACACTTATGATGATTGCAGCATCCCCAGGGTCATGTGGTCAAAATTCGGACTCTTGGCCACTGACACACTTATGACGGTTGCAGTGTCCTGAGACCTTGGGATCAGTTTTTGCAAACTTCTGACAAATAAAGTCAATGGGGAAGCCAGATTCACTTAACAACCATGTTATTACCTTAATAACTACAATTATTCATTTAACAGCTGTAGCAAGAAAAGTCATAAAATGGGGCAAAATTCATTTAACAAATCTTTCACTTAGCACCATAAATTTGGGGCTTAATTGTGGTCATAAGTCACCTGTAATGTGGGATGTGCAATGTATCAATTTCCTTATACCTTGTGCATTTATCTCCCAGTAGTAACTGGATTATGTTTCTTGGCAAATGATAGGAACTATGACAATTGATCCTACTGCTCTTACATCATCTGTAGAGATAGTAAAATCACAACCTTTCCCAGTGAGGGGAAATGATATTATCATCACAGTAAAGAGATTTACGTGGCATTTTGTAGTGATTCCAGGTCCTTTGCTAAAGAGCAGGATAGCATTATGAGTTTCATTCTGGGGAGAAGCATAAGAGTGGGTGGAAAGGAACTAAACCAATGGTTTATGAACTGCCAGCTTGTCGGTTTGTGGCAAAGATTTCAAACTGAGGTCCTACCTCATGCCGCATTAAGTACCTATAGGTCAGACATGTCAAACACAAGGCCCAGGGGCCAGATGCGGCCCGCGAAGTGGAAACAGTGAGGGAACAGCCCCTGCTGCCTTGGCCCTGGCCCAGGCCAGCCGGGAGCCAATGTACAATTTTGTGGTGGCCATCTATGCTGAAACACATTCAGTCTTAGCTCCACAAGGCCGTCTAGAAACAGCGAGGAACCAGACCCTGCTTTGTTGGCCCTGCCCCCTGGGTGCATACTGGGGAGGTGTCACCCTTTGTGAGGAATGAAGAAATGGACCATGCCTTGGCGCTTGTCCAGGTCCCACCCCCTTCTGGTAGAGACCCTCAGATCTATCCAACTCCTCCCCAGGCCCCCACAGGCACCCTTGACGCGAACGATGTAGAGCTGGCCATGCCCACCCAGTAGGCCACATCCATTCCATCCACGTCCACTCAGTAGGCTGCACCCACCCTGGCCACACACCCCCGGCCCCCCAAGGGCAACCACAATGCTGATGGGGCCCTCAATGAAACTGAGTTTGACACCCCTGCTATAGGTCATATTGCTTACTGAAAGCAACATTCTTCGTTGCATTACTGAATGTATTTTATTTGGAAGGAGGGAGAAAAGCATTTTTAGTTTAACAACAACCTGAAAAGGGGGGGAAAAACAGTAGTTGTTCAGAGATAGCCATCACTACCTCTAAATTTTGCATCGTTTAGTTGAAGCTGCAAAGGTGGACCGATTCTGCACTGCCGTTCAGAATAAAGGTGATTTACCTTGTCCCAGGAGCAAGTTAAATCGTGTATATTAAGGATAGGATTTTCACTGTTACTTTTGAGGTGTGGTCTAAACTGAGAAACTTCATCAAGGATTAGAAAGTTCTGCATCAGTGGAAAGAAAAAAGAAGATTGTATAAACACAAAACAGAAAAGATTAATTTATTTTTTGCTGAAATACGTTCACATAATCAAAGGCTTTCCATATATTCAAAGAACATATCCATAGGGAAACTGAGTTAATTAAAAAATAATAATAATTTTCTGACCAAGTCAATGTTTCTTTTTAAATACGTACAGATCTAGAGTTATTATTTTATTATTACTTTAACATGGTTAACTAATAATTTAGTTTATAATTTACAATATTCCATGTATAGCAAATGAAGATCTGATTATCAACAGGAATGAAAAGTGGTATTCTAACTTTTTTTTCTGTGCCTTCATAGCAGTAGCAGTTCTGAGTTTGCCTCACACAGCCTTCTGCAATGATAGGCACTGAATCCTACTTACTACATCCCACGCTCAACTGTGCACAACAAAAAAGAAGATTTTAAAAAAACGCACTATAATATATAACAGAATAACAGAGTTGAAAGGGACTTTGGAGGTCTTCTAGTCCAACCCCCTGTTCAAGCAGGAGACTCTATACCATTCTGGACAAATGGCTGTTCAATCTCATAAAAATCTCTAGTGATGGAGCACTCACAACTTCTGAAGGCAACCCGTAACTGTTAGAAAATTTCTCCTTAGTTCTAGGTCGCTTCTCTCTTTGATTATTTTCCATCCATTGCTTCCTGTCCTGCCTTCTGCTGCTTTGGAAAATGGATTGACCCCCATCTTCTTTGTGATAGCCCTCAAATATTGGAACACTGCTATCATGTCTCCCGTAGTCCTTCTTTTCACTAAACTAGACATATCCAATTCCTGCAACCATTCTTCATATATTTTAGCCTCCACCTCATCTTTGTTGCTCTTCTGTGCACTCTTTCCAGAGTCTCAACATCTTTCTTATATAGTGGTGATCAAAACTGGATGCAATATTCTAAATGTGGTCTTACCAAGCACATTATAAAGTAGTAGTAACACTTCACGGGATCTTGATTCTATCCCTCTGTTAATGCAGCCTAGGATTGCATTGGCTTTTTTGGCAGCTGCAGCACACTGCTAGCTCATATTTAGGTGATTGTCCACTAGGACTCCAAGATCCTTCTCACAGTTACTGCTGTTGAGCCAAGTTTTACCTAATCTATACCTGTGCATTTGGTTTTTCTTGCCTAAATGTAAAACCTTACTTTTCTCACCACTCAATTTCATTTTGTTAGATAGGGTCCAGTATTCAAGTCTGTTGAGATCCTGCTGGATTTTGAGTCTATCTTCTGGGATGTTGGCTATCCCTGCCAGCTTATTATCATCTGCAAATTTGATGAGTGTACCTTCTATTCCCTTATCTAAATCATTTATAAAGATATTGAAGAGTATTGGGTCTAAAACAGAACCTTGGAGTTGCCCATTGCTTACGTCCATCCATGTAGATATGTATAGTTCCATTCAGGACTACGTGTTGAATGTGGTTGACCTATTCTCCAAAGCACCTGAGGGCAGGACAAGAAGTAATGGATGGAAACTGTTATATAGACATCCAAACTAGAACTAAGGAGAAATTTCCTGACAGTGAGATCAATTAATTAATGAAATGACTTGCCACCAGAAGTTGTGGGTGCTCCATCACTGGAGGTTTTCAAGAAGACATTGGACAGCCATTTATCTAGAATGATATAGGATCTCTTGCTCAAGCAAGGGGTTGGGACTAGAAGACCTTCAAAGTCCCTTTCAATTCTGTTATTCTATGACTTCTATTCTAAGCCATTAAGGGTCAGAATATTATAATGGCCTCATAATGCCTGATACAGTGAAATTCTCATATGCAAAAGACCCTTTCTTCCTCTGGTAGCCTTGGCATTGATTTTCCAACCTCCTTGTCAAAGGCCTGGTTCTTCTTGTTAACTTTGCAGAGGTGCTGAATGTGCAGTTCATGGGCTGGACAAAGCCTGTCATCATTTTTTAGCAGGTTTCTAAAGCCTTATTACAATGTCTGGGTGAAGATATTTAGTGGAATTGTTCCTACATTCTATTATAGATCCAAATAATGGGAATGAAGGAGACTCTTGCAATAGAATCTATTTGCTGTTTATTGATCAAGGGTAATTTTAAAAGTGTTGCACTATAATTCTGTATTTCCAAAGTTTTTTTTTCTGTATTTTTTCCTGTATTTCAAATTATCTGATAAAACTGTGCCTCTATTCTTGTCCCTAATCCATAATCATTCCCATTATCTTGAAAATCATTTATGCTCATTCAGTTAAACATCCTTAGTCAATAAAAAGCACCATAAATTCAACTTCTAAGCAGTTAATCATCCGTAACAATTAAGAATTACCCTTAGGGAATTACATAAGGCAAATGTTTATTCATTCTCTTTTTCTAGCTATAAAAGACGGAGGCCTGCCTAGAAGAAAAGCATGAGCTACCAGCTTGTTAATTATTTCTAATGCTGCCATTAAATTCAACTGAATGTCCCCTTTTAGTAATACCTTGATTCGTCTAACGCTGACCAATGCTTCAGACACTTTCTCAATGGCTGCTGGGAAAAAGAGAGTGACTGTCAGCCTCACTGCACCATACAGAGAGACAGCGACAAACACTCGACTCGCTGAAATAGGATTGCCCAGCAACACGTAGGTCATGAATGTCATAAATACTGTGATTTTGCTGGCAATGTAGAAGGATGCCAAGTTCATTCCCCGGAGGTAAGAAGTCTTAAGAACCACTGAAATCTCCTTTCTGAAATTGAATTTCAATAATTTTGATAAAACACGCTATGTATTTATATACTGCAAGTATTTTTAAGATACTTCAACCAAGCACATCTAAAAGGTTTAGAAAAACTAAGTAAGAAGAAAGCTCACATTATTAAAAAAAACACCAATTCAGCATCAGTAATAACATCAAAACAACAGTAGCATATACAGCATCATCGACTCCACAATTAAGCAGCCAGGTTCCATTCAAGTCTCAGCTATGGAAGCACAGAAACTTCTTGTTTGGATTATTTCAATGCACTCCACATGGGGCTGCCCTTGAAGACCATCCAAAAGTTACAGCTGGCCCAGAATGCCACAATATACACAGTATTGGGCAGCTCTTGGTTTGCCTATGTAAAGCCCCTATTGTGTGAGTGCCACTGGCTTGAATTTTCCTTCTGGATGCAATTCAAGATGCCAGTTATCACTTTTAAAGCCCCACATGGCATAGGCCCATGTTACTCAGGACCATCTCTTCATGAGACTATCTGCCCCTCCCACTAGATCAGGGGTAGGCAACCATGGCTCTTTTATGACTGGTGGACTTCAACTCCCAGAATTCCTGAGCCAGCCATACTGAGGGGAAAGGGAGAGGTTTCCAAGCTGAACCATGCTGGCTCAGGAATTCTGGGAGTTGAAGTCCAGGAGTCATAAAAGAGCCAAGGTTGCCTACCCCTGCATCAGGTCATATAAAATGGTCATGCTCCAGGTTCCTTCCCTGAAACAGTGTCATCTAATGGGACCTAGCAATCGTGCCTTTTCCATGGTTGCTTCTGCCTTATGAAAAACCATCTCCATGGTAATCAGGCAGGCCTTCATTCATCCTCTTAGCTTTCTGGAACACCATTAAAGTCCTGGCTCTTTACCCAGGCACTGGGCTAGAGTGGTGGAGGCTATTGTGGGAGAGGGGTTGAGGCACCCTGGGAGATTGATAGAAGTACCAGATTTTTTAGTGTTTTTTTTTAAATACAATTCTTACTGATTTTATAGTTACACTGTTGTTGTAAGCTGCCCAGAGTTGTTTCATCATGGTTGGAGATAGAAATCTGTTAAATAAATAAATGAGTTGAGGCCAGCCATTCTCTCTTAGCCCAACCTACCTCACAGAAAATGGGAAGAGAGAATGGATATATTTACCTTTGAGCTTCAAGAATAGGGAACCCCAAACTGGAGGGTGTGATTTGCTCAGGGGCATGAACAAATCCCAAATGGGATGGCAGGATATGCATTTTTAAAACCATTATTAGCATTAAAATTTTAATTTTAAACTTTGAAGAATGGTGGAGCTGAGAAGGCTAATGAAAGGGAGAGAAGCCCTGCAAATATATGTTTGTTTGTTTTAATCTCATTGTTATTAATTATTTTTTTAAATAACCCAAAGCAATGAACATATCTAATACTCTTCCCTCCTCCTATTGTCCCCACAACAACAACCCAGAGAGGTGAGTTGGGCTGAGATAGAGTCACTGGCCCAAAGTCACTTAGCTGGCTTTCATGCCTAAGGCAGGACTATAAGTCATTCTTGTCTGATTTCTAGCCTATTGCCTTAAGCACTAGATCAAACTGACATAAACATCCACATATGTGTGGTGGGAAAATCCACAGGTGTGTGCAGGAAGATCAGGGTCAGATGAGCTGATGGGTAGATTATAAGCCAATGGCTGGTAAGATGAATGTCCAATGTATATTTTTTCTCAATTTAATGCGCACTTCAATGAGGAGACACGGGGTTTCTAAAATATCAGAAAGGGACATGCAAAGGCCTATGGCAAAGGAGGGATAGGAATCTAAGAAGAAATAAATTTTTTGAAATGTATTTTCAAATTTTCAGAAAATTAGACATGGAAGCAACATAGCATTTTATTTTATGTTTTAGATTTTGAAAAAATGGTGATCTATTTCAGTTTTTTGCTACGCTAAATCATAAAGCTTACTTATTACAGGAAGGGACACTGTATGATCAGGGAGAAAACAGGTTTTCTTTACCCCACAACATTATCAAATTTTTGGGGGGAGCTTCCGGTACGCAGCGGCGTGATGGCGGCTACTTTGTAGCCATCCAGCTGGGAAGGTGTCAGATCCACGGAGCACAGCGCGCATCAGCTGGCCCGCGGTTCGGAATCCCCTTCCCGGGCAAAGGGAAGGGGCAGAGAACGCAGGAGTAGAGGTAGAACCTCTGAACCCCCTCTGGATTTTTTCCTTGAGGGGGTGGAAGGAGCGTTCCCTCGGAGCTCCTGCCTATCTCCGCCTCCCAGCTGTTTTTGCTTCTTCGGGAGCAAAAGGAACCGCCGCTTCTATCTCCGCGGTTAAAGAGTCTCGGTGAGTAACTTTTGAAGCGGACAGAGCGGTTTAAAGGATTTCTTTTTATAGTTTAGTATTTTATTTTCCTTTTCTAGTTAGTTTTGGTTGCTTCTCCTTTGTTCTTTTTTGCTGGCACAGAGAAAGTAATTAAGATGGCATTTTGAAAGTGCTTGGCTTTTTTTTTTTTTCCTTTGTCTCTTTGTTCTTACTTTTTTGGAAGGTATTGGACTTAAATGATTGGTTTGACTTTCTCTTTTTGAGTTTTGGACTTTTTCCTTGATTTTTTTTCTCTTTTTTGGAATTCTAAGGATTATAATATCTTTGTTCTTTTTAATTCTTATTTCCCTTTTCCCTTTTCTTGGGAAGAAGGGAAGAGAGAACTTTGTTTTAAAAAATGGCTTCAAAGAGACAACCGCCTTCTATACTATCTAAGGTGGTTTCCTCTCCCACAACCTTAACTGTACAACAACAACAACAACTTAAACCTGTACCACCGACACAGCCTCCACCCTCCCCTCCTTTGCCAGGCCTGTCTGCACAAGAGATTAAAGACATAATGGGAAATGCTGTATCCCAAATTAGAGATGAAATGAAGCAGCTTGTTGTACAGATTAAATCTGAAAGTAAAGAGGAAATGAAGGAAATGAGGGAGTTATTAGAGGACAATAATACTATTTTGAGGCAAGACATAGTTACAGCCTTATCAGGTCTGGCCTCTGTGGTGGCGAAGCTGGACTCGAGAGTGGAGGAAGTCGCAGATAAAGTTGATTTTTTTGAGGATAAATTTCAAGATATGGAAAGGAAGATGGAGATTTCACAAGAGGATATCCTTATGTCCCAGTATAGAGAAATGGAATACGCCCTGAGAATCAGGGGTCTGAAGGAGGACATGAATCAAGATCTGACAGAGATGGTGCTTAGTGATTTAGCTGTTGCTCTGAATATGGATAAAGAGGAATTACGCAGAGAAGTGGAAAAAATTTACAGAGTTAATTCTTGGATTGCGAAGCAGAAGAATTTGCCTAGAGATGTGGTGATTTATTTTACAAAGAAGTCTCTGCGTAATGAAATCATACAAGCTTTCTATAATAAGAGATTCCAGATTGCGGCCCAAGATGTCATTATCTTAAAGGAAATCCCATCTAAAATTTTAAGAAGCAGGAAAGATTTTGCTTTCTTAGCCAATGAGCTTAAAGCCAGATTGATGCCATTTAGATGGGAGATCCCGATGGGTATCGCTCTGAGCCATGCGGGGATGCGTTACAGGTTGAATACAGTTGCTAAAGCTAAAGAGTTTTATAACACGGTCCTGGGTGCAGGCTCAGCTTCATCTGTTCAGAAACCCTCGAGTGGTAAAGAGTTGGAACAGCAATCTGAAGCATTAGGTCTGATCTCTGCTGGGAAGTCCCAAGTTGAATGGCAACGCCAAATAGAGGTTAAAGAGCAGAGGATGACCCGTGAAGCACATAGACGCAAGGAAAAGGAGCAACAAAAGAAAGAAATTAAAGAATCTTCTTCGGCGCCTCATTGCCGGTGGGAGGAGCAAGACCCAAGAGTTCTGCAACATATACAGCAATGGCAGATCTCCAGGCAGTCTTCTCCAGGCTCCTGGTCAAGGGAGATGGCAAAGTTCCTGACCTGGAATGCTAACGGTCTTAACTCCCCTCAGAAAAGAAAGAAAATCTTTCACTATTTAAAGCAACACAATAATGATGTTATCTGCTTACAGGAAACTCATATTTTACTCAAAGATCAAAAATATTTAGTTAACGCCCGTCTGGGATCTCATTTTGTATCTCCTGCTCCTGGGAAAAAGGGGGGAGTGGTTATTTATGTTAAGCAAAATTTACCAGCTTGTCTGGTAGAATCAGATCCCCAAGGAAGATATGTAATGATTGAACTTGGTTTATATGGTAAGAAAATACTTATAGTGGGACTTTATGCGCCAAACCAGCAACAGGAACAATTTTACAGATTGTTACATCAGAAAATAACTTCGCTGGATTATAGATCCGTGATATTAATGGGTGACTGGAATGGTGTCTTAGATATACAAAGGGATAAGAAAGGTTCTTCTCCTCTTTTTAAACAGGCCAAATTACCTAAAGCCTTTTTTGATATGAAAGAGGACTGGGAATTAAGGGATTATTGGCGTGAACATAACCAAGAGGAGAGAGACTTCACTTTCTTCTCAGATAGACATCAATCTTTTTCAAGAATTGATTTCTTTTTGATTACAACGGATTTATATAATAGAGTAAAGAATGTAAAGATTTTTCCTAGGTCGCCGACGGATCATAGTCCAGTTTGGATGGAGTTGATTCAAGAAAAAGAGGACAGAAGATCCTGGAGGGTGAATGAGAACTTATTCAGACAAGAAAAGAATGTTCAAAAGTTAAAGGAGTGTTTAAAGGATTATTTTGCTTTGAATATGTATAAGGGGACTTCAATGTCAATGGTATGGGATGCAGGTAAAGCATTTATGCGTGGGATCTTGATAAAAATGAATAACTTTCATAGACAAAAGCAGACTCAGAAACGTAAAGAATTAGAAGATGAGATTAAATTAAAAGAAAAGCTTTTGATTTTAACTCCTTCAGATGAAAGGATTAAAGAATCTATAAAGTTGCTAAGAACACAATTTAATATGTTGATGGCGGATCAATCCGCAACTAACTTATTGTTTATGAAACAAAATACATTTTGTAATGCTAATAAACCAGGGAGATGGTTGGCTTATCAATTAAGAAAGAAACAGAGACAGAGAATAATAGACAAAATAAACTATAAGGGTAAACTAGTGTATCAGAAAGAATTGATTAAGAAATCTTTTTTAGATTATTATCAAAAATTATATAAATCTACTAATGTGCAAACTCTAGATATAAATAAATATTTAAGTGAGGCCAACTTCCCCAAATTGACAGAGGACCAGAAACATGAAATTAATGGCTTAATTACCAAGGAGGAAATTGTGATAGCAATTAAACAACTGAAATCAGGGAAAGCACCGGGTACGGATGGGTTGACATCTGTTTATTACAAAACTCTAATGGAAGAGATGATTCAACCATTAGGTGATCTTTTTAATAATATTTTACAGGGCTCAGAGATTCCTCCTTCATGGCGCAGTGCTTTTATATCCTTGATTCCAAAAGAGGATCAAGACCTTACTTTACCAAAGAACTACAGACCTATATCTCTCTTAAATGTTGACTATAAGATATTTGCAAAAATTTTAGCTAATAGGCTTATGAGGGTTGTGCATCATCTGGTACATAAGGACCAATCTGGTTTTATAACTGGTAGGTATATGAAAAACAATGCTAGACAAATTATTAATTTATTAGAATATCTAGATAAGAATAACCAAGTTTCTGCAGGGCTGATATTTTTAGATGCTGAAAAAGCTTTTGATCAATTGAATTGGTATTTTATGTTAAGAGCAATTGAAGAGATGAATTTTGGTGAAAAGATATTACAAGCTCTTACGGCAATATACCAAAAACAAATGGCACAACTTATTGTTAATGGAGGCTTGTCAGAGGTTTTTACAATAGAGAAAGGGACTAGACAGGGATGTCCATTATCACCGTTGTTGTTTATTTTAACATTGGAAATTTTGTTGTCTAAAATTCGAGAGTCGCAGGAAATAAACGGAATAGAAGTTAACAAAAAAGAATATAAGTTAAGAGCTTTTGCAGATGACTTGGTGGTTACTTTGTCGCAACCTACTTATTCTGTAGTAAAGTTATTACAGTTGATTTATCAATATGGTTTGGTTTCGGGTTTTAAGATTAATGTTAATAAGACTAAAATCCTACCTAAAAATATGACTATTCGGAAAAGCAGATTCTGGCTAACTTGACTGGTTTTGAAATTGTTAATAAGGTAAAATATTTGGGGGTGATTTTATCTGTTTCTAATGCAAAATTGTTTAAGAATAACTATGAAAGGTTGTGGGTTAGAGTACAGAAAGACTTGAGGAATTGGGAGAAGTTGCAATTATCTCTCATGGGAAGAATTGCACTGATTAAAATGAATGTTCTACCCAAGTTCCTTTTTCTGTTTCAAATGTTACCGATTTTGAAGAATGAGATTAATTTAAGGGAATGGCAGAAAGGTATTAATAAATTTATTTGGGCAGGGAAAAAACCAAGGGTAAAGTTTAAAATCATGCAAGACTCCTGTGAGAGAGGTGGACTCAAGGTACCGAATTTGAAATTATACTATGATGCGGTGGTTTTAACATTAATTAGCGAATAAATTTAGTAAATTTATTTAAATTTAAATTAGTAAATTTAACAAATTTGAAGATACTCCATCTGGAGGGATGGGATTTATTTTTTGGTTGGCATGCCTATTTAATATTCAATAAGAAGGTGGATTGGGTTTTTAAATCTCATATTATAAGAATCTCTTTACTTAGGGTTTGGAGAAAATATTATAAGAGTGACTTTAAAATACCATTATGGGCTATACCTTGGCATGCGATAGAGGGGATAAAAAGAGGTGTCAGAATGAATACGGTGTCTTATACACAGTTACTCAGATGGGATGGACAAAACTGGCAGTTAAAACTATTGGAAGAGTTAGTATATGAAAATATTACTTATTCTTGGTTTCAATATAGACAATTAGCAGATAGATGGAAGATGGATCGTAAGTGGGTTTTCTCAGAGAAGATGAAAATCTTATTAAACAAGTAAAGGACCAAAGACAAAGTCATATTAAGAGAATTTATGGGGTTCTAGTGGAATTGGATTCAGAAACAGAATTAATTAAAGATTGTATGATTAAATGGGCGCAGAATTTTGGTGAACCAGTTCTACTGGATACCTGGGAAATTATTTGGGTGAGAAATGTTAAATTTACACAAGCACAGAATCTAAGGGAGAATTTTTATAAAATGTTTTATAGATGGCACCTTGATCCACAAAAAATGTCTCTTATGTACCCTGACCTACAGCCTAAATGTTGGAGATGTGGTTGTTTGGATGCCACCTACTATCATATTTGGTGGTCGTGCAGAAATATAAAAGCTTTCTGGATTAAGATATGGTGGAATATTCAGAGAATTTTCAGAAAGAGGGTAAAATTTACTCCACAATTATTTTTGTTAGGTATAGTTACTGATTGTGATGCAAAGGAGGTTATATTGATGTTGAATTTGATTACAGCCGCAAGGCTGTTAGTAGGACAATATTGGAAGAAGGAATCTTTGCCTACTTTGCAGGAATGGTTTCTTAAAGTATCTTATCTGGCGGAAATGGCAAAGATTTCGACTTTCCTAAAAGAACAATCGCAAGAGAAATTTCTTGCTGTTTGGGATAAATGGATAAAGTTTATACAATTTAAATTGGATATAAAAAAATATCATTTAGCCTTTTTATAACTCTTATTTTATATATATATATATATATATATATATATATATATATATATATTAGTGTTATATTCTTTTTTTATATATAATCTGTTTAACTTTTTTTAATTAAGCCTATATTCTGCTCTGGGAAGCTCCGGGGGGGGAGGAAGTGGGTGTTTTGGGGAAGGGTTGTTTTGTTTTGTTTTGTTTTGTTTTGTTTTTCTTTTTTATGCTGTTGTTGTATTGTCATTTTTTTGTTTTTCTGTAAAAATTTATAAAAATTTTCAATAAAAAAAAAAGAAGAAATAAATTTTTTGAAATGTATTTTCAAATTTTCAGAAAATTAGACATAGAAGCAACATAGCATTTTATTTTATGTTTTAGATTTTGAAAAAATGGTGATATATTTCAGTTTATTGCTACGCTAAATCATAAAGCTTACTTATTACAGGAAGGGACACTGTATGATCAGGGAGAAAACAGGTTTTCTTTACCCCACAACATTATCAGATTCTTTTGTTGTGATTCAAAAAATCCTGCATTATATAATATCACCCTGTAGCTAAAAATCAAGTAAACAACAACATAGGTATAGAATTTCTGTGAGATATAAAATCACCTTCTCATATTGTTCACAAGTTCAGCAAATGACTTTTCCCAGGCATACATCTTTATTATCCGCATTCCAGTTATAACCTCATTCATAGTCCTGATCCTTGCGTCTGTGAAAGCTGCAGTCTTGCTCCTGAAGTAGAAATAGGCAGCTATAAACTTTTTTTAAAAAAAAAAACTCTAATTCTAAATTCATATTGGACCAATAAAGGCTTTTATTCAGACATTTTCATTTATCTAATGTGAGAATTTCTTTGCTATTTCAATAGTTAAAAAACATTCTCCTCCTTCCCCCCAAGTAAAAATTCAGGAATACACAAACAGATATAATGATGTAGTGAACAAAACTTAAAATACATAAGTGAATAAACCTAAGATGCTTATGAAAAAAGCTTATCTAGATTTAGTGGATTCTTTTACATAACATCAATCAATTAACCATATTGCTTTGAAGAATTGAAGATATACATAAGCAAGGATTGGAAACCTCTCCCTTTCCCGTCAGCATGGCTGGCTCAGGAATTCTGGCAGTTGAAGTCCACGAGTCATAAAAGAGCCAAGGTTGCCTACTCCTGTCCTAGTAGAAGGCATATAGGTATAGAATAAATAGTAATAGTTAGTAGAATCTATTACCTCTTGCTCATTCTCAGGAGTAAAACCGTAAGAAGGTAAGCAAGCAGGAGACAAAAATGACCACTTATTCACTATCTATCTTCCTTCAAATTAATGAGAGACTAATAATAACAAAAGGAACTACAGTCAGGTAAAGGACTGCAATAACAACTAGAAATGATTAGTGGAATAAGAATTTGGAATTTATGGAATTTGTATATAGATGGGTAGATAATATAAGATAATAGATAAGTCCATAGATGGAGTTTAAAGTAGATATACCTTCAAGGAAGCCTTTACAGCAAAGTGCAAACTTATGAACCCTGGTCTAAAGTAAAGATTGGACATCCATTTGTCCAGGATGGTGTAAGAATTCCTGCCTTGGGCAGGGGGTTGAAGACCTCCAAGGTCCCTTCTAGCCTTATAATTCTATGATTCTATGTTTTCTCTCTTGGTGTCTAACAACAACAAAGCAATCAACTCGCTGCAGTGTGGAAGGTCATGGATTATTGAGAAATGTTCTTTAATAGATAAACAGAGGACCAAGTTTAATATTTTACAGTGCTGGAATTCTCCTCATGAATATTTGCCAGATCTCAGGCTAAGTCCCAAATATTTTTATGCAGACATCTAGCTGAACATATATTGATTTTCTTGTTTGTTTGTTTTTATATTTACTATGATTACCAATAAAGAAGATTACTGCAAAATAGTAAAGAGTGCAAAGTTGAAAAATCTTATTTTCCAGCTTAAAATACTAGGATCATGCAGGATAACATCCATAAGACAGCAGACATATGGTCCTGAACAATTCGACAAAATGCTGTAAATATTAATAAAATTATCTAATAATCATAATAATTTGAAACCACTGAAAACATGCTATACATTTTAAAAATCACATAACTAAATGAAATAGCAAATTATAAAGAATATTCCCTAAAAGGATAGAAATTCAACCAGAGCACTGTACAATCTGTTATTTTAAAAAACATGAAGAAAGTCTCCACCTTCTCAAAACTTCCTTGTTTTGCTACAAAACTGAAACATTCCACAGCTCAGCTGCCCTGAGAGTCAGTCACACAGGATTCAACCTTGAAATACTTGTAGAAGTAACAGCTAGTCCCAGGTCTACATTTCTAATCTGAAGATTTGCAGTTATGAATTATAACTGTATATTATATACAATTACAAGTATAAAGTAGCTGAGAAAGACCTGAGAACATGTTTTGCAGAAAGAAAATTGAGAAATATTTTCTACCTTCAGTTCAAATTCAGGTCATCCTTGACTGACGACCACAACGGAGCTCAAAATTTCTGTTGCCATCTGAGACAATTGTTAAGTGAGTTTTGCCCTGTTTTACAACCTTTCTTGCCAGTTGTTAAATGAAGCACTGCATGTTATTAAATTAGTAACACAGCTGTTAATCTGATTTCCCAATAGACTTTGCTTGTCAGGTCTCAAAAGATGATCACATGAACTTGCAACCCTCATAAACGCATGCCAGATAATAATAATGATGAAGATGATGATGAGGATGTTATTGTTGTTGTTGTTGCAAGGTACCTTGGAGGTCATCTAGTCCAACCTCTGCTCAGGCAGGAAACCCTATACTATTTCAGACAAATGGTTGTCGAGTCTCTTCTTAAAAACCCCCAATGTTGGAACATTCACAGCTTCTAGAGGCAGGTTGTTCCACTGATTAATTGTTCTAACTGTCAGGAAATTTCTTCTTAGTTCTAGGTTGGATCTCTCCTTGATTTGTTTCCATCTGTTGCTTCTTCTTCTGCCTTCAGGTGCTTTGGAGAATAGCTTGACTCCCTCTTCTTTGTGGCAGCCCCTGAGATATTGGAACACTGCTATCATGTCCCCACTCGTCCTTCTCTTCATTAGACTAGACATACCCAATTCCAGCAACCGTTCCTTATATGTTTTAGCCTCCAGTCCCCTAATCATCTTTGTTGCTCTTCTCTGTATTCTTTCTAGAGTCTCAACATCTTTTTTACATTGTAGTGACCAAAACTATATGCAGTATTCCAAGTGTGGCCTCACCAAGACATTGTAAAGTGGTATTAACACTTCACGTGATCCTGATTCTATCCCTCTGTTAACGCAGTCCAGCACTGTGTTGGCTGTTTTGGCAGCTGCAGCACACTGCTGGCTCATATTTAAGTGATTGTCCACTAGATCTGAGATTCCTCTCACAGTTACTACTACTGAGCAAGGTACCACCTATACTATAACTGTGATTTGGTTTTTCTTGCCTAAATGTAGAATCTTACTTTTTTCACCATTGAATTTCATTTTGTTAGGTAGCGCCCAATGTTCAGGTCTGTCAAGATCCTTCTGTATCTTAAGCCTACCTTCTGGAGTGTTGGCTATTCCTGCCATCTTGTTGTCAACTGCAAATTTGATGAGTTCCCCATCTATCCCCTCATCCAAATCATTGATCAAGATGTTGAAGAGCACTGGGCCCAGAACAGAGCCCTGGGGCACCCCATTACACACTTCCCTCCATGTAGATGCAGTTCCATTGAGGACCAAACGCTGAGTATGGCTGGTCAGCCAGCTACGAATCCATCTGGTGATGATGATGTCTAACTCACATTTTTCTATCTTATCAAGTAGTAGGTTGTGATCTACTTTATCAAATGCCTTACTGAAGTCCAAGTAAATTATATCCACAGCATTCCTCTAGTCCACTAATTTTGTCACTTGGTCAAAGAATGCAATAAGATTTGTCTGGCATGATCTGTTTTTGACAAACCCATGTTGGCTTTTGGTAATGACTTTGTTTGCCTCTAGGTGTTTGTTGATTCATTGCTTGATTATCTTTTCCAGAATCTTCCCAGGTATTGAGGTCAGGCTGATAGGTCTGTAGTTTCCTGGATCGATCTTTTTTCCTTTTATAACGATGGGAACTACTTCAGCTCTTTTTCAGTCCTCTGGTAGTTCCCCAGTGCTCCAAGATCTTTGAAAGATATAGTTCATTGGTTATGAGATCACATCTGCCAATTCCTTCAGAACCCTGAGGTGTAATCCATCTGGTCCTGATGATTTAGGTGGACAGGTGCTCACCTACCATTTTCTTGCCCATCTTAACTTGTGTTTCTAATCTGTTTTTTACAGTACTGTTTTTGATAGGTTGGACTGTTTTTTCCCTTTGTGTAAAGATGGATGCAAAAAACGAGTTAAATAGTTCTGCTTTCTCCTTGTTGCTTGTCACGTTGTTGCCACTTTCTCCCACTAATGGACCAATCATTTCCTTAACTTTTTTCTTGTTTTTTACATGTTGAAAGAAGCTTTTTTGTTTGTTTGTTTTACTTTTGTCACAAGCCTTAGTTCATTTTGAGCCTTAGTTTTCCTCAATTCATCTTGCAGGCTCAGGCTATTTGCTAATATTCTGTCTTAGTTATGTACCCCTCTTTCCATTTTTTTATACTTGTCCTTTTTGTCTTTCAATGTATCAGAGAGTTCTTTATGCAGCCATGCTGGTTTCTTATGAGAACTGTTATTTTTCTTCTTTGTTGGTATTGTGCTAGACTGGGCTTTTATAATCTCACTTTTCAAAATCTCCCAAGCTTCTTGAGTTGTTTTCCCCTTGAGGATTCTCATCCATGGAATCCTTCCCAAGCTCTCTGTAAGTCAGACATGTTAAACTCGCAATATCATGTGACATTGCTCAACGTATCAGAACTTTTTCCCCATTACGGCAATGGGATGGGCATGGTTTCCTTGTGATATGTCCGGCCCCTGGACCGGCAGTTTGATACCCCTACTCTAAGTTTATTGAAATTAGTTCTCTTAAAGTCCAAGAGTCTAGTTTGACTGTGTTCTATTGCCTGTGCTTGGATAATGTTCAATTCCAATATTGCATGATCACTCCCCCCAAGGTTCCTGTGGCTTCAACATTTTCTATCATTTCTATCAACACCTTCTATCATTTCATCTCTGTTAGTGAGAATTAGGTCCAATATGGTCTTAATTCCCTTCTCTGATCCCTTAGTTCCCTCTTCTACTTTTTGGCAAACAAAGTTGTCTGCTAGGTTTGTCAGGAATCAGTTTGATCTTCCACTTGGTGCAGAGTTTGTCTCCCAGTTGATGTCAGGGTAATTAAAGTCCCCCATTACTATGGTGATGTGCTTCCTACATACCTTAGTTAGTTGACTAGCAAAAAGTTCATCTATTTCCTCTGTTTGGTGGGTGGCCTATAGTATACACCTATGGCAATGTCATTTTTTCCCCCTTTATATTGACCCAAATGCATTTGAGACAGCTTTCATCATTGTTGTGCTCTATTTCTGTTGAGATTCTTATATAGAGAGCAACTCCACCTCCTCTTTTATTTGAACTGTTTCTTTTAAATAATTTAAATCCCTCTAGCTGTGTGTTCCATTTGTGGGTTTCATCCCACCAAGTTTCCATAATGGCAACAATATCATATCTGCCCTCATTTACTGAATTTCTAGTTCACCCTGTTTATTGCTCATACTCTCTACGTTGGTGTATAGACATTTGAGTCTTTTATGACTGACCCTGTGTTTACTTTCTACATAGCCTATGTGGTGCCTGAGTTCCTCTATTTTCTTACCACCTGTTTGATTAGTGCACTTGGTGTGGCATTCACTATTAAAAGCTTGATTTTGCTTGACAGCTAGGTTGATATTCTTGTCCACACACACCTCTGTAACATGCACTGCTAACCCTATAATTTTTAGATTGCTGGGGACAGGAATGTTTTGTACCAATTAACTCACTGTCCCCATTGTTTACTTTAAATATTTCTCCAGAAAATCTGTGAATTTATTGTCAAGTAACTCAGTCCCTTTCTTTGATGGATGCAAGCCATCTCTTTTATACACTTTTTCATTGGACCAGCTGCAGACATCATGACTAATATAACCAAAGCCTTCCCCTTTACACCACTCCTTTAGCCACATATATGCTGGCCTTTTCCATTTTGTACTTTATACACTGGTAAAACCTCTGAAAAAGTAACCCTACAGCCTATTCTGCTAAGTTCCTCCCCCAAGCTCTGGAAATCATTCTGCATAGAGAATACATCTTTTTGGGATAGATTGTTAGTGCCAAGATGTACAATAACATCCACATCACAGTCCTTGCTGGCATTCTTGACTATCTTAAAAATACTTCTTTTCCATACTGGAAGTAGCACCTAGAAGACATCTGATCTCTTTCGAAACCTCTGTATCCTTTCCTAAATTTACATCCCTTATCATTGAATCATCAACCAGAAAGTAGCTTCTCTTTTGGGATGCCTTGCTCTTCTTGCATGACTGATGTATAATACCTGATTCACACTTTCCCCTGTCCAAAACAAGTTCCTCATCTTGGATCACGATCCCCTGCTTATTTGAGTTATCATCATCACAAGTACCTTGATCTGTCTCCTTAGTGTCACTATTAAGGTCAGCAAGGGCACTGTATCTGTTATGCAGGGACACAGCGAAAGCTTTGTCTTTATGGTTCATAGCTCTCACCCTGCCAGATCCCACTGTTGTCCATACTGCCCTTCTCCTGCAGGATATTTGTGGTAGAGGCTGATAGCATGGAAGGGCTGAACTGGACACCTAATTTCTGCCTGAAGAACACAGATTACAGACCCTAGATAAGTAATCTGTCCTTGTAGACTAGTGATTTGTTTACAGATAGGACAGTTTCCAAGTTTGAAAAGAGTACTGCGAAAGACAGCTGCAAAACAAGTGTTGCACTGAACTAAGCCAGACATTCTGACATAAAATGAAATCACAATCTCAGATGCACTTGCCCCGAATGTACTGCTGCTGTTTTAGATTTTTAGTTATATGAAGAAGAAGCTCAGAAGCTCAGCTACTTTTCTCCTCTGCACTCCCTCTTAACTCACAGCTTGCAATTCCTCCCAGCAGCCTCTAGGCAGTTCAAATGCAATGGTGGTCCAACCAGAAGCTCAGCTACTTTTCTCCTCTGCCAAGCATCTAAATTTTAATCACGTGACCATAGGGATGCTACAACAGTTGTGTGAAAAACAGTCATAAGCCACTTTTTTCAGTGACATTGTAACTTCGAACAATCACTGAATGAATGGTTGTAAGCCATTCCAATGCAGAACTACCTGTATGATCCCTGCCTTCTCTGAGTATCATGCCTCCATCCGAGCCTGACTCTGAGGATGACATGGAGTTTCCTGAGGACGACATGGAGTTCCCTGTTGAGGCCCAGGAGGGGGTGTCTGTGGCTTCGGAGGACTGTGGGGAGGAACAGGCTGAAGCAGGCCAGGGCCCTTCAAGTTTGGAACAGGGAAGGCAGAGCTCAGGCGAGGAGCAAGGCCCCTCCCCACCAGATCCCAGAGCAAGGAGAGCAGAGAGGAGGAGGGAACAACGGAGGCAGGCTCACTTGCTCGGGAGGAGAGCGTCACGCCCCACTTCACAAGGCACACCTGGGGAGTAGGTATTTAAGGAGATGCTGTGGGGTGGGGCATTTGCCGGGAACAAACGTGATCTCTTGGGATGTGAGCTCTTGTACCTGGACTCTTTGTATTTTGGATCAAGTTTGTTTCCTGCTGAGTTCTCCTTGCTGTCTTCAGTTTTGCAGTTTGCAGGTTACAGGCAAGCTGGGCGTTGAAAAGATCTTACTGCATTTGTTATCTGTTTTACTTTAAAGAACTGTTTAACTCCGTTGACTGTTTTATTGAACTTGTGCCAGCATACGTGGAGGCTGTTGGGTGAATGTTGGCAGTGCTTACAAAGACAATTATTCTGACCAGCTAATTGCTTTGCCTCCGTTCGGGGCCCTGGGTCATCACACTGAGTTCTATGTTCCTCTCATTTCTAGATTTTCTTTCTCATGTCCAAGGTTCTACATCTCACCATATGTACCATTTTTATATCGCAAGACCTTTTTCCTAGAGTCTGGCTGAACATTAAACATCTTTAGAGGTTAGTTTAGAAAAGAATCCCAGGTGTAGAGAAAACACATATCCTCACCCAGGTTTGAACATACAGTCATGTTCAGGAACAGCAACTATATACAGATAGTCCTTGACCTACGATCATTCATTTAACAATCTTTTGAAGTTAACGCTGGTGCTGCCTTACAAGTAGTCCTCACATTTATGACTGTCGCAGCATCCCTGAAGTTATGTGATCAAAATCCAGGCTCTTGTCAGCCAGCATGTATTTATGAGGGTTGCAGTATCTCCATGATCACCATTTGCAACCTTCCCTGGGGGGGCTTTTGATGAGCAAAGTCAACTGGGGAAGTCAGATCTGCTTAACCACTTGATTCATTGAATGATTGTCGCAAAAAAAGGTTATAAATTGTGTTGACACTTAATGACTGCACCCCAAGCTCTGATTCCAATTGTATTCATATGTCAAGGACTACTTGCACCTTGAAAGACAGAATGGTATTGATTGTTGAAAGAGATCTCTTAAATTGGAAGCTAGTAGTCTTCAAGATGTTTTCAACAGTGATCTAGTAGTCCTGCTCAATTAAATGTGTGCTTTTAAACCTTCCTATTAATTCCTCTTTTACTTAAAGCAAAGGTAGTCAAACCACAGGCCTGCATATTTATCATCCCCTTGCTCCGGATACATGTGCCTCTTTCTCATCTACTTACTAGCCTACATCCTACATTAGCTGGCCCATCCTCTCTTGCTCTGCTTGCAGCCTCCCAGACCTGGAGGAGGCTAAAAAGCAGGATGACGGGGCCAGGAGGCCAGGCTTGTATTGCTTGGGGCCTTTTTGCTCTCTGCAGCTGTTGGATGAGGGAATGGCTGCTTGGGAAAATGGAGCAGATGAAAGAAGCAGCAGCAAATCCTGACAGGATTGAGGAATGCCTGCAGCACCCAATGGCATGCCTGCCTTCTTAAGCAACCCTTACCTGCCAGCTAGGAGGAAGGGGCAGAACTGAGGTCCTAGCAGAACTGCTTACACCAAGGAGGGCTCTGCAAGTTCTCTGCCAGTCCCCAGAGGCCCAGGAGCTTGGCTTTCACACCACCCTGGAGATGCTGGTGCAAGCCTGCATGTATGGATCTACCAGAGGTTGTCCTCTCAAAGCTTCTGGGCACAGGAAGGAGCCACAAAGCCACCCAGAATCACAAAGAGGATCCCTCACTTGCAGGACAGTTTTTTTTACACTACACATGTCTTGCATGCTTCATGCTAGGCTGTCCAAACCCAGACATTTAAAAAGAAACACTAATTAATAAATGTAATCAAAATTTACAAGTCATGAATTCTGCCCCTCTCTATTTTCATTTTTCCAAGTTCTGTAACTTGGAAATCTGCTTTGTAATTTGCCTTGGGGAGAAAAGCATACTTTGGGTCTTATGTATGTCTTTGAACATATAATAAAGATGAAATTAAAAGAACATCTTTATTCCACTGGTGCCAGATTTAGCAAACACATGTTTTTGAACCTTTTTGTTCAAAGTATATAACCTTTGAAAAACACAAACTATCCATGCTGAGTTGAAAGAGTTTTTTTTAATCACTCTGAAGGAACAAGATGCCAATCACTCTTACCTCAGAGCTGAGAAGAGCCTGCCCATGCAGGTTTGCAAGGGAAGAAGAATAATCAGCACCGCCATCCCTGCAAGGCAGGACGGGCCAATCTCAAGCCACAAAAGAACAGTCACAGCTATTGCCTGAAGGGGTCCAGCCCATAAGAAATGCAAGAAAATAGTCACCTAGGCAAAAAAGAAATACACATGACTCACAAAATGAACTGAAAATAGAAAAATCACGACAGCGACCAGTCTATTGTGCACATGGGGGAAAGTCCTGTGGGACCCAGAAATGATCTATATCTGGATATGTTAGGTTATATATAAAAAAAGTTGTTATTGTTCCCTAAATGCCTTGGGAATTCTGCATGTCACTCTATTCCTGGAATTGCTCCTTACTAAGATGGAACTCCAGGCCTCAGCAACTGCCTGCACCATCTGAAATATAGCTTCTTTTTTAGCCGGACATTTATCATTTGTGATCATCTCCACATCTGAGGCCACATGAGCCAAAATACCTCCTACATATTACTGTCTATATAATGCTATAAAATTTACCCTGGACATTTAAGAAAACCTTCGCATGACACAGTTTAATGCTGTCTGGTTGTGAGAGTTCTAACCCATATCTCATGAAATCAACATATTTACTTTTAATCTATACAAAATCATCTACAGGCAGAGTTAAGCCAAATGAGCTGCCCAAGGTTAAAATAATGAACTTTATGCTTAGCTGAATGATCTCAAAAAACTAAGCACAGTCACATCTGGTTCATACTTTCTTGGCTACCATGAAATATCAGAACTATAGCTGAGACTAGGATGCTTAAAAACTACCCTAAAAGAAGAGAGAGGCAAATCAACTTTCTAATATTGCTTAGAAATCTTACATAGACATATCTCTTAGCTCACAAGGAGTGAAGCCCAGTGTGAAGGGGACTTATAGTTCTGCTACTGCAGTATCCTTGAATGAATCATAGATACACTTGGCAGTTTTTAAAAGCCAACATGAGCCAGTTTAGTCTAGTGCAGGGGTAGGCAACCTTGGCACTTTTATGACTCGTGGACTTCAACTCCCAGAATTCCTGAGACAGCATGGCTCAGCTTGGAATCCTCTCCCTTTCCCCTCAGTATGGCTGGCTCAGGAATTCTGGGAGTTGAAGTCCACGAGTCATAAAAGAGCCAAGGTTGCCTACCCCTGGTCTAGCGGTTAAGGCACCAGGCTAGAAAGTGGGAGACCACAGATTCCAGTCCCCCCTTAGTGGGACTTGAAAGCCAGCTGAGTGACCTTGGGCCAGTCACTCTCTCTTGGCCCAACCCACCTCACAGGGCTGTTGTTGTGGGAGAAATAGGAGAAGGAAAGTGTGTTTGCTGCCTTGAGGTATTTGTAAAAAAGAATAAAGGTGGGATATAAATGAAGAAAAATAAAATGAATAAAAATAAACTCTCCACCTCTACTGCAGCCCCCGCTCCAAAAGAGAGAGAAGGAAAAGATCAAAGTCCTCTTTAAGATTAGAGACTACAGATAGCCCTTGATTTACAACCACAATTGAGTCCCCAAATTCATGTTGCTAAGGGAAACATTTGTTAAGTGAGTTTTGCCCCATTTTACGATCTTTCTTGCCACAATTGTTAAGTGAACACTGCAGCTGTTAATTTAGTAACTTGGTTGTTAAGTGAAGCTGGTTTCCCCATTGGCTTTGCTTGTCAGAAGGGTGCTAAAGGCGATCACGTGACCCTGGGAGGCTGCAACTGCCATAAATATGGACCAGTTGCCAAGTGTCTGAATTTTGATCATGTGACTACAAAAATGCTGCAATGTTGTAAGTATGAAAAAGCGTTACCATTGTAACTTCGAACAGTCACTAAGCTCGGCCAATTGCATTTTCCATGCTAGCTCAGGAATTCTGGGAGTTGAAGTCCACGAGTCATAAAAGAGCCAAGGTTGCCTACCCCTGCACTAAGTGAACTGTTGTAAGTCGAGGACTACCTATATAAGTTGTTATTCTTATCACAATCCTCCATTCTAAAAAGACATCTGCTTGGAAATCACCGCAATATAAGATGCACCCCACAAAGGATTCGATATAGCCTTTAAAAATATTTTTATCCACTGCATACACATGTACAAGCAAACCCAAGGACTTTCATTCTATCTTGCTATGAATAAAAAGAAAAGGCCACTACCTAAGATCACTCTTAAGCTAAATCATTCAAAATGTCTGTCTCCCTTAGGGCTTACCTGATCAAATTTATTCACATCATTTGACAAAAGATTTACAATCTGACCGGTTGTCGTTTTTGACATGGCTGCATTATTCAGACGAAGTGCCTAAGAGCAGAAACAAACTTATTCAAATGTCACATTCATACACTGAATAGTATTTAGTCACAGCTTTTTCCCAATTTAGCTATCTTTCGTCTTTTTTCAATATTTCCTTAAAAAAATTAAATATACTACTCAAACAATTTTCCAAGTTTCAATAATCATCTTATGGGAACAATGTAAGATGAAACAAACTCCCAAAAGCAGGATCAAAACTAAGATTCCAGTTTAAGTTAACAGACAATGAAAAAGAAGACCATGACATGTCATCCTGAGTTACAGTATGTGAACCTGACATTTTGGTCCATAATCATGGTTTATGCTTAGACTGTTGTGTGAATCTAGATAACTATGATCTAGTGAATTTACTTTTGTGTTGCATATGAACCCAACTTCTCCAGAGCTAATAGTGATCGTATACAGCACTGTAATTTCTCTTTTCCAATGTATATGATCCTAAAGTAGAATAATATAGAGTACTATACTTAATGCTAAAGATTTCTATCAACAATTTGATTCTCCTTTTTAATAGCATTTAATTTGGTCTACCTTGCAAGATTGATTTACCTCAAAGAAGAAAGGTTTAATAAGTTTACTTCCACACCTCAATGTTTTATGGTCAAGAGATAAGCTTAGGACAATATATTCCTTTTACATTGTTTTTCACTTTTCTCTAGTAACTGCCAGAAAATAAATCAGGGTGTTACTCTCATTCAAATGCCACGATTAAGAGGAAGCGACTCCACAGAACACTCTTCCATCTGCAAAAAAAGTGATGTTTCTTTTTTATCAAAGAAAAACTTAGGACGCTGGGATAGATTCTTCCTTTTGCAATGCCAAACGCTGCAAAACCCCATTGCCACAACTTTTCCTGTTCTAAGGGTTTGTTTAGAAATATAGGTAGTCCTCGACTTATGATGACAATTGATCACATGACCCTGGGACACAGCAATGGTTATAAACATGAACCAGTTTGCCAAGCATCTGAATTTTGATCACATGATCATGGGGATGCTGCAAAGGTCGTATCTTTGAAAAACGGTCATAACTCACATTTTTCAGCGCTGTTGTAACTTTGCATAGTCAGTCAACAAACTGTTGTAAGTCAAGGACTACCTGCTCTAGGGAAAAAGGCTATGTCAGAAACTGAGGAAAATATTTTGGGGAAATCTACTTCAGATAAAAGAAAGGAGTCAATTTCTCTCTGCGCGCTTCTCATACAACAATGCTGGCAACATTTTAAGGACAGAACTCCTGTTTGTGTTTCTCCAAGCTACAGTATAGTGCATTGTCTGAGAATTACAAGCATAGCCAGATCTTTAAACAGTAGAACAACTTGTACTCATTTACACTCCTTATTCTTCATGCTAACCATGAGAACCAATTCACGGAGTCAAATCACTCTCCAGGATCTTGCTTTTCTTAAAGATTTAACAGAAGGGTCACCCAATAGTGATATTCTATAGGAAACCAGTTTTTCTTGTCTTGATAGAACTTTAACTCAGAAGTATGATAAATACCCACCAAGTTCAGATGCATTGGACCTGATATAAGAAGACTTTTCCTGTTTTAAAATGTACAAAGCATTTAAGTATTTCAAAGAATTAAGTTTCTCATCAAGTAAATGGCAGGAAGGCGACGGGCAGCAGGAAGAAAGTAGAATTGCTTAATTCCTTCTTTGCATCTGTTTTTAAGCAAAAGGAAGAAGCAGCCCAACCTATCTAAAGCAGAAACAAGGGAGACAGAACAGGTATACAAGTCAAAATAGGCAACGAATTAGTAAGGGAATGCCTATCCACCCTGGATGAGTACAAATCAGCTACTTCAGATGGTTTATGCAACAGTGTTTTGAAGGAGCGGGCAGATGTAATTTCAGAACCCACTGAATGTAATCTTAGGCAGGACAAGAAGTAATGGGTGGAAGCTTGTTAAAGAGAGATCCAACCAAGAAGTAAGGAGAAACTTTTTGACAGTAAGAACAATTAATCAATAAAATAACTTCCCTCCTAGGGATGTGGAGACTCCACCACAGGAGGTTTTCAAAACTGAACTGGACAACCATTTGACTAGGATGATATAAGATCTCCTGGTTTGAGCAGAGAGTTGGACTAGAAGACTTCCAAGGTCCCTTCCAGCTTTATGATTCTATGATTCTAAAGATGTTTTCCTATAATGCAATCCCACACCCTTGTGAATAATGTGAACAAACATGTGGAGGCTAATCACAGTATAATAAATGTGTAGGAAATGATGAACTCCCTTCTGTTTCCCACAATGTGATTTCCATGGCGCTACAGACAGGGCATAAAATACTGGAATACCAACACCTATTGTAATCAGAATAAGACGTCAAAGTAACATGTGCTTCATTTTCAACACACTGAATGGTGAGTCCTTAAGGGAAAAGCTACACAGTAAATCAAATTTCCTTAAACCAAAAATTAAACTTAACATAAAGAGCAGCATAATACTTGGTCATTGTTTCACAGAAATATTATTGCATACAAAATTTAGCAGTAAGACTATCCTGTGGATTTAACAGTGAACAGATAAACATTGCATTATTTTATCAATGATATACAAATGTTTTACTTAAGCAAAGAAGAAAAACCTTAAACCTAAAGGTGAGCCATTTCAATGTCCTCTAAAATTTCTAATGCAGGATAATACATACAGAGAAATGCCTCTCAAATTCTCCCTATGGGTTGAAAAAACTCTGGAAATCCTATTCTCCTTGCATTTGTCTACTATCTGAAAAAACAATTCAGGAGCAGCCTACGTATTTTTGAATTAAAACTTTAAGGCTAACACATTATTTTGATAGATCATGTTGTTGGTAACTAGTTACTGCTAAGAAATCTCCATATTCTGGTGTTTATTGTTCTGTATGGCTAAAAGAGTGGGTGACTCTCTAAAATAAGAAGTAATTCGAGTTAGTGAGTCAGAATTAAGATTTGGATGACATGGCTATTTATGGTATGATAAGGTTAAAGTAAATGTTGATTTTAGTAATCACTTTGTTAGACATGCCATCCTAAGAGTTTGGAATAAATATAAAGTAATATAAAATTTGGCTGTCTCTCCAGAAAGCTTTTTTTTTTTTAGAAAAGAAATGCTGGTGAGGCCAGACTGGTAGACTTATGGTTAAATAAAATATCTGAATCATGGTGACCCTATCCTCAAATCTAAAGAGGAGTTGGAATCAGAAGGATGTGTTTTCCATTGGTTTATATATTTACAATTGAAAGAAAGACTTAAATTAGACAAATAGGGTTGGGGGATTGTTCTTGACTACTATTTAATTATATCCTCTACAAGCAACATTATGCAAATGCAAATTACATAATCTATATCATGGTAACATAAAGAGAATGAGAACACCATTTCATGCAAAATTAATTGCACTAGGATTCACTAAATTGTGGATCCAATGTAATTTTTTCAAAACTGAAAAAAAGTTAGTGAGTTCAATGAGTTCTGGAATATTGAGAGGTCAAATGGAAAAGTAATTAGAACCCTAAAATAAGGAGACAGGAACCCAGCATGAACCAATAAGCTTTTCTCCATTCCTTGTTTTTAGATGCAGTATTGGTTGAAAGGCTTTGTTCATGATTCCCAAAACACACTGTAGTATATTATTCAGAATAGCAAATTAGTTCCTCAGAGATTAGTTTATGCACAAGAAAGCATCATACCTAATGACAACAGAGTTCCTAAGAGGTATCAGGTGGAAGAGTGCAGGTTGAAATGCAAACTTAGCTTTTCCCCAAGTACATCATAGCAACTACAGTACTGTGCAAAAGTCTTAGGCCGCCACCCGCTTTGTTGTTTTAGCAAACTTTTAATGACAGTCCATTGTTATTTTTCAGTCTGGAATACAACTGTCATGGTTCCGATAGATGAAAGTCTTCAGAGAACTTCGAGACATTGTTTACCTTAAAGAATGTTTATTTTGAGTAGCATAGCATCATCAGTGCATAATCGAAGCCAAAAACTAAATTCCCCTCCCTTGAACACATAGTATCAAAGCACAATTCCCTCCTCCAATTAACAGTCATAAATGACATTCCCCCAATTAGCGTGAAGCATGGGCTTCCTCTTCCGTTCTCCAGCCTGCCAATTTCTTATCAACTCTGGTTACAATTGCCTTGGTTTCTCACGCTGGGTCCAGCGTTGCTATGTCTAGCTGGACTCTCGCTTACATTCCCCCTCCCAGCATCATCTAACTCTAAAAGCAAAAGGTAAAAGATGGCTACATTTCCATTTGTTGTCAATGCAAAAATGTTTGATGTTAGCAGCATTGACATCAACATCTTGAATATCCATTTTTGTTTGTTGATTTCACTTTGAGAGAGGCCTTGCTGATGCAAAAGTACTTGTGTTTCTCCGAAAATAAGATCCAGTCTTATATTTTTTTTTCCTCCAAAAGAGGCATCAGGTCTTATTTTTGGGGGGATGTTTTCTTTTTTCTATTGTCTCACCTCACCGTAGCGGCACCAACAGTCCCATACAGCAGGAGCCTGCGTGCCTGCAGCTGGCCCACTTCTTCTGCGGCCGTTCGCCACCGCTCATGCACATCACCCCCCTGGCTTCCATTTCGCCAGCAGAGGCCTTCAGGAAAGGCCTCTCCAGCCGAGAACAGAGCTCTGGGCTGACACATACCTCTGCCGGCAAAATGTAGGCCAGGGAGTGACACGCGCCTGAACCTGGGGATCCATTCTTGCCTGAACCTGGGGATCCATTCTTGGCTGCAAAGGCTGGTGAAACAAAGGCCAGGAGCAACATACATGAGTGACGGCAAGCAGCTGCAGAAAAAGTGGGCCAGAGACAGCCATGCGGGCTCTGCTGAACAGGGCTGTATCTCCCCCCACCTGCCTCATCTCATCTCGTGTTGGCAGCACTGCAAACAACTAGATGGAATGGGTGGGGAGCCAGCTGCACAGGCTCTTAACTAAGGCTTATTTTGGAGGTAGAGCTTATGTTAGGCGCACACATAAAAATCAAGCTAGGGTTTATTTTTGCAATAGGTCTTGTTTTCAGGAAAATGGTATGATTTTATGTATGTCATCTTTGGCGTTTTGACTAGAATGATGTGATTGAAAGTGGTTCTTATTAGCAAACTTCCAAAGAATTACACTTATACAACATATGACTACACTATATGTAATGGTCAAGCATGTCTTGCACAAACCTGGTATTATAGCCCTTTTTGCATAGCAGTCATTTTTACATAAAATAGTAGGACACATCCAAGTATTAGCAATGACAGAACGTACGGTCCCATCCATTTAGGTTTATGGAAGACAGACGTCTGCTATTGTTCAACTGTAAAGGGAGGTCACACTAAATATTGCCACTTTAAGCTATGGAAGCTATTTTATATGCTTTTTCTTTTTGAATACTGCAGACAAATTTTCTGCATAAAATAATAGAAAATATTTGTAGATCAGGTTTTAAATTTTGGCAGTGGTTTGTTCTTCAAGCTTGCCATTTAGCTCCCAAATTTCCTTTATTTTCTGGTTGCATTCTAATAAGGAGATTGAGACTTAATTATACATTACAATTATGTAATTTTAATTATAACTATATGGTCATTGTACTATTGCTACAACATATTGTTTTTCATCTGAACTACAAATACTCTCAGACTGTAGACTACAGCCTTGAGTAAGTAGTTCCTGTGATGCATTTACTAATGGGAAAATCTGCAGTCCTCTCAGGCACTGTACATACATGGTTTTATTGCAGGATCTTGCATGACAACACCGTTATTATTCCACCAATTTTAAAAATACATGTTCAAAATTTAACAAAATTATCATATTAGTATATTGTTATTCCTTCCAGTAAAAAAAGAAATTACAAAGTATGGAAACAAAAGGAACAAAATGGGACAAAAATGTTCTTATTTATTCTATTCACATAGTACTTAACACCTGTATATTTTAAATATTCCTTTACATTTTATATTTATTTCCTGCCAGATTCCAATAACTCCTAGTGGTCTACATCAGAGGTCCCCAACCTTTTGGGCACCAGGGACCAGTGCCATGGAGAAAGCTTAGGGGTGGCCCATAGGGGGTATGGTTTTGAATACTGCCTGCATCCCGAGGATGGAGCTTTGCTTTTTTGTGCGACCCGCTTGCTGTCATGCTGTGGACCGGTGCCGGTCCATGGACCGGGGGCTTGGGACCCCTGGGCTACATGATATATAATATAGAAAAATATTAAAATTTTCACAGTGTAATTAAAAATACTACTAAAACAACAATCATAAAAGCTCAAGCCAGAAGATAAGACTGTAGTAAAATATTCTAGAATAAAACAGAATTAAAAAAGAGTAACAGATGAAGAAATGTCTGAGATTGATTAAAAGTAAATAGTAAATACAGTCATTCCATTTTTAATATCCTCAAGAAAGCCAAGAAGGATGGAGCTGCCCTGATCCAAGTAACACGTCCAATGAGCACACTGGCCACTCTGTTCTCGGCCAATTGCATTTTCCATGTAGTCTTCAAAGGTCGCTCACTTAGCATGCAGTGTAGTAGTCTAATTGAGTGGTAATGAAGGTGTGAGTTACTGTAAACAAGTCCTCCTGCACTAGGTAAATATATATCCAAGCTATAAGTTACAAAGCAGCTTATATAAATTACCACAAAATGCAGCAGTTCCATTACAAATAGAACAGCTACTTTAAAATACAGTATGAGGTACTTCTAAAGTGCATAAGTAAATAAAAATAGATTTAGATAAAGTATTCCCTTCTAGACGCATACAGTACCGATGCTTTTTAAAGTAGAACTGATGGGCCAATTTTCCATGGAAGAAAAATCTATAGGAAAGGGTCCCTCAAGGTAAAAATACTGCAAACTTTAAAATTACCCCAGTATTATTAAGCTAAAAAGACATATTAGACAGAAGGCATAAAACAGAAGGCTTAGTTGTATGATGGCTGAATTACATCACACCCTTCCTTATTGTAAATGTAGCATACCTTGAAAAATTTTGAGATAATTTTTCACTACAACCAAAATGAAAGTAGAAGGAAGCCTAAAACTGGATAACACTGTTAGAAAGAAGTCTACTTAGCCCCCTTCATTCCTCCTAATTTTTCAGCAGTATGATAAATTTTCGCATTAAAAGTCATAGGAAGAACTAGCAGTTCATAACGGCAGCCAACTTTTTTCTAGCCTGCTGATTTTTCTGGAGATTTCAGCCCCTGGCCTGTCCACTTAGAACGGAATTTACATATGGCACATTGATGTAATCTTAACATTCTTTTCCTGAAGAGCCACGTATCGCCTTGCTAAGCAAATGATTCTAGCAACACTTGTTTGCTTCCCTCACAATGCAAGACAAGCACTCACCTATGTTAAGGGTCCTGTTTATTGAGATAAAGAAAATCTATTACTTACCTTGTGATAAATCATATGGCACATGGCTACCCTCAGCTTCATGCCAGCACGTTGTACATGATAAAAATACAGATGATGAGTGATGGCCAGAATCAAAGTGCACACAGATAAGGCTGCAGCAGAGCCATAGGCGTAAGCCAAAGCATTTTTGTCAGCATGTGAAGAACCAATCTTTTCAAAATACCCAATAATCATCCCCAGAAATATTGGCTGAATTAGTATCAGAGTTTCCTTAAAAAAAGAAAAGAAAATTTCAATTAAAGTGGAACAATTGAAACAAAATATTCCTTATTTTTAATTATCCTGTGGAGAGTACTATAATGAGGCTGTGCAAAGTGTTACAAATACAAAACACAATGTTCTAATCTCACAGGAAGGATTCCAAAGCTGCAGCCACAACGAAATTATCCTGAATTCAAAATATTTTGAGCTTGGAACTCTTCTGGTATGTATGCATGTATTATATTTCTATAATAGCCTGTATAAAGTTGGTACAATGGGAAGAGTATTAGAGAGAGGTAAAAAGCACTTTTGAAGTTGAAACACCGGGCACACCAATATACTCCAACCTACCTTAACTCAAAAGCAAAAAGTAATGTAATTCATCATTCTGCACAATGATGTCATGACCCCATAATATAATTGGGGCTTCTGATGGACATCTAGGGTGGGCCTTCAATTTCTTCGTCTACTGATTATGCATATGTCTTTGAGTCTAAAGTAGAGTAAGAGCAGAAAAGTACTCTATGTCTTAGAGCAGAGAGTAGTGATATGGTCAAGAGTAAAATCAGGGAAGCACCTAGATCAAATCTATTAAAAGCCAGGATTTCACAGCACAGTGGTGATTCTTCTTACAAAAGTTTTTAAGTTGGATTGGTACTGATGATTTTATTGCAGATCTGGAGTTAAAGTGAGAATCTGGTTTGTACTGGAATAACACAAGGAAAGTAAAATCTGAACCTGGCATTGTTCATTTGCAATTTGCTTTTCTCATTGTTAGTGTTATTGATGACTCTTTCTCACTGCTAAATTAAATTGGTTCCTAAAAACATTACATATGTCAAACTGTATCAACCAGGAGGAAAAAAAAACAGAACATTTCAGGGTGGATGGATGGATAGACAGATAGGCAGATGAACAGATGGGTGGGTAGTCACAGCAGACAGGCATTTATATTATTTCTTAATATTTTCTCTTTTAATGATAAATATAATGGTTTAGACCAGGGGTGTGCAGCCAGCAGCCCATCGGCTATGTGTGGCTTCTGGGGTCTTCCTTTGCAACTATGAGGCTATTACAAAAATATAATTAATTTTATTAAAATTAATACAGTCGAGAAATTATGTTTTAGTTTTACGTGCAAAAGAAATCATTCCCTGAACTATTAATTCCCCTTTACTTCATAATTGTGACCTTTTTCATTTTTATGTAATTTGGCAAAAACTGGTAGGTTTAGATTGGCCCCAATGATTTGTGGATACAATTGTGGCCTGGGCCCTTTGAAGTTGGTTTAGATGATAAGAACATCTATATTCAGACAATATTTCATGGACCATGGTCCTTCCCTTTATTATTTTGTTTAAAACTAGCACTGTGGTAAAATGAAACACAAGATCCAGTATCAATGAGTTGTTGATATTGGGTTGATTATAGAATCAATTTTTTGCTTGTTTGTTTCTTCAGTCTGGGAAATGAGAAATATTACAATCTTTACTATTAAAATGGTTTATACGTCCATTTGTAACAAAAAATAAAAATAATCAATAAATTTATAAATATTGTCTGAAAAATTGTATTTTTCCACCGAACACACCAATCATATTTCTATGAGAAAACCAATTTAATGTAGGTACAAATGCGTTATGCATCATTTTATATCTATAAAGGGTGCTAAAAGGAAGTATTGAATACATTTTCATTTTCCCCATTTGTTTTCCTTTTTTTTTCCTCTTGCTTAAAATTTTCTAGAAAAATTAAAAATATTAAGCAGGGAGTTTATACGTCCGTTTGTAACAAATGGTGCATAACACATTAATATAACCATCTCACAATTTTTGCTTGCAGATTTGTTTTAATAGTACATCTCTTAGAATATGTTACCTCAACCAATGTAAAACAACCCAGCACTAAATAAGATTTCCAATAACAAAGTATAATTGCTTTAGTTAAATGTGGGGTTCTTGCTTCTTTTTCAGCCTTTTGCACTTCTTTATCCCAGTACCTATAAATATAAGAATTAAAATTAGATGAAAGAATCAGAAAGAATTCAATATATGTTAGGTTCAGGCATTTTTTATAGCTAAGTCAGGTCATAAAATAGTAACTTTTATAGTGAGATAGGCCCAACATCAATCTCCCTAAAAACTATCTGAAGCATGTGAAGGTAAAGAAGTATAGAGGCACACAACTTGTACAAGGTTTGTGCAAAGATTTCAAGGTAAGTCCATGGTGCTTATTCATACTGATAATAGTCATAGGAAATGATAGCTCCTAACTAACTTTGACTGATCTTGATAAAATTTAGCAGATTTAAAAAGATTATAGAGCTGACTTTGGGATATGGAAGCAATGAACAAGCTGTTAAGGGAGGCCTCTGTGACAAAATTATAGGAGAGTATGGGGTAAAAAGTTCAAAGTAACCCTGCCTTGATTTTGTCACTATAAAACAGGACAAAAAGAAATCTGGACAGGCTTCCAGCACTCCTGGAATCCCTGTCATGCTCATTTCTTGACTTTGCCTACCTGAAAAGCTGAGATAGATTCATATTTGCTTAATATATGGAAGGATGGTCAAGGGCTGTAGATTATACTGGAAAATCTGAGGGGGGGGGAAATCAATAAATAGGTGGTGGCTTCTCTACTGTTGCTGTTGGAAAGAATCCAGAAGCCACACTTTCCAGGCTTTCCTTGTTATACTTTCCAGCCCAACAGAAGTCACCATGAGCCAAGTTCAACTCAAGAAGATTCTACATTACTCAGAAATAAATAAGGCAAAGTATTTGCACCTCAATATTTTTCCTGGCATCATGTTTGGATCTAGAAAGAGCAACCTCGGCAAAGGCATAAAATTTAAGTTGTAAAATGATAATAACTTAAGGAAAAAAAGAGGAACACCACTTAAGGGCACCATGATGGGTCATGTGATCAGGAAAGAGGAAGAATGATGATTTAGAACAGCAAAGTCAACAACAGTCCATGCAGTCACCTAACAGACTTACAGAGTTAGGAGTGCATTGATATCAGCCCTTCAAGGTTGTCCAGATCAGGCAGCAGATTCCACAAGAAGACTAAAACTTTACTTTATTAAGAAAGGCTACAGTAACAGAAATGCACAAGTCTTTGTTTTGCCTTCTGTCTCTTTTACACATCAGGAAGTCGAGGGTAACCAGTCTGGGTCTCTAATAATTTCTCACTATCTTGGGCTCAAAGCATGCTTATGCATCTGTCCTCTTAATGGTTTTTAGATGGTTTTTCCAAGATCTTCTCCATGGTTCAGACTGGAGAAAGGTGAGTTGATTTTTTTTCTCTCCACATCCCCTGCCAATTATTTTTAACTTAGTTTTTCCAAATTTGGTTGGGCGAAGTCCTATTTCTCTTAAGATTGTTATTTTCCAATATTCCATTGCATTGAGAAGAATAACAAGTCCTTTCTTGATTTCTAGACCTAACCTCTTTGCAAGCAGTGGCCACAACTGATGACTGTATTTTCTTTTTGTGTGCATGTAGCCATGCATGCACATTTCCTCCACCACCACCACCCCACTAATTTTCAATCTCAGTCTTTCTTTTGTCCGCTTCTTCCTTCACATGGAATTTGGTTCTGATTACCTTTATTGACATTGGACTATAAAAAACAAAAAGACTAAATTATTTGTACTGAGACACTGGGGTTTACATACCATTGCAGCCTTTCCCCAAGCACCTTAGAGGAATCTTCAGTGAGTACTTTGTACATATCATCTTCTTCTAGTTTCCGTTTATGACCAATCACAAATAAAGGGTTTAGCCAGCTGTCAAAAGAAAGATTACTCTCCATGTAATTATTGTACAAAACAGAGATACACTTTCTTTTCTTTCTTTCTTTCTTTCTTTTTCTTTCTTTTTTTCTTTTCCTCTCCCTCTCCTTCTCCCTCTCTCCCTTTCCTTCTCATAACCCACAGCTACATCTCCTTAAAAAGATTTAAGATTAATTCACCCAGTCAGAAAAATAAAAACACACTTTTAGAGAGGATGCCCATAATAAAGCTACAATCAAATGCTTGGGGGGGGGGATTTTAGAAGTTACAAATAAATTGGGAGGAGAAAGTGTTATGTGAAGCCACTCTACAAATATCAGGAATGTTCATCAAAACATGAATTGTTAACAATGCATTAATAACAGTGGATGACAAACATATAATGTTGGATTTCACTGCCATGATTCTTAATACTGTAACCTTAGGAGGGCTAGTATTTTTAGATTAGCCACAGACCATTAATAATGCTAGTTGTTTTGTAAACATTTTTTAAAATATCTGCCAAGGACATCTACAGTACGTTGTTGCTTTGGTAGTGGAGCACCTGCTTGGTATGGATAGTTTTTCTGTACACTTTCTAGTTTGCCTTTGGTCTCTGCTGATCAATTTACGACTACAATCAGCTCCTCAAATTGCGACTTTAATTGGACCCAAAATTTCCATTGCTAAGTGAGACATTTAAGTGAATTTTGCCTCATTCTACGACTTTCTTGCCACAGTTGTTAAGTGAATCACTGCAGTTGTTTAAGTTAGTAAAAGTGGTTGTTAAGTGAATGTGGCTTCCCTATTGACTTTGCTTGTCAGCAGGTTGCAAAAGGTGATCCCATGACTCAGGGAATGGGCTGGTGGGGGGGGGGCTGAAGTACCGGTAAGTGGATGTGGGATGTGTGGGGTAGCTCCACCCCCTCCCTCACCTGCCTCACCTCATTGTGGCGGCAGTGGCGCGATGTGCCACACAGCCTCCTGTCCCAGCGAGGTGGGACGGAGTAGGCAGGATCCTAACTAGGGCTTATTTTTGGGTAGGGCTTATATTAGCCTCCCACTAAAAAAATCAGGGTAGGTCTTAGTTTAGGGGAGGTGCTTATTTTTGGGGAAACACGGTATTATCATCAGATTCAATGCACAGACTGGTAAACAGCATTAGGTATTCAATCCTGTACCTGAACTGCTGATACCCAAACTAAGACATTTTTTCAATTTTCTATCGAATTTTCATCTAGAATCTCTCAACAACCCGGAAATCATTAAAAAAAAGAAGGAGTATGCAGAGCAAAATGAACTTTAGTGTCCTGATAAGTACACATTGCTTTAACCTGGCATTTCTTCTCTCTACTCTTATATGTGTTCTGTTTGCTGAACCAATCTTTGCTGACCCAAGGGCAAGAAGAATTGACAATCATTACTCAAACTGCATAGTTTTTCAGTTCTCTTCCTGAATTCAAAAGCCTTTCTGACAGCATGCCCTTTAGACTTTCAGTTGCTCCTTCAAATATTACAAGCAATGAACTATTACAGGCAATGTTTTAGTGCCTTCTCCCGAGCAACTGTTTTAAGCATTTACAACCCCCTCCCTCCCCTTCTACTAGGCCAGGGGTCCTTGACCTTGGCAACTTTAAGACTTGTGGACTTCAACTCCCAGAATTCCTCAGCCAGCCTGTACTAGGCCATTGCTTTGGGCTATGCTTCCCTGACTTGGCTGGTATTTTTTCTTATTTCCAAGAAATAGGAGTAGAGGAAAGATAACAACACACAAAACACCTTTGAGTCTAATTCTTTTGCTTCTTCCAAGAAAAGGATCACCAAATGTACTTGAGCTACAACTCCCAGCAATCCCAAGGCAGCATGGCCACAAGTTTTCTGTCTCCCTCCAGCCCTACACCAAGCATTCACATATCTTTGTATATGGCTGAATACAATAATTACAAAAAAGAATAGGAATCCTACAGACCCAAAGAAGTTGGAGAATTAGATGCTGAAAATTCTCCCTTAGCAAGATGGGTATGTGGCTGACTGTCTAAAGTCAGGAAAATGGTGATCCTGCATGGTTTTTTCTATACCAGCACCTTCATCCTCCTGTATATTTTCTATAATAAAAAGGATGTTTTGGAATGCAGTGTGTGCAAAAAAAAAATTAAAAGTCTGTGTGTTTTCTGTACAGTGCATTGGAGTTATCAATTCCAACTGGGTTATCAACCATAACTTGTTTTTTAGCAACAGATCATTCACAGAACAAAACTTGTTTGTTTAAGGAACAGGCCAGATGCAAGCAAAAGATGAAGGGATTTTAGATGCTGAAAACCTGGATAATTCAAAGAGCTAACTTCAAGCCCCTCAGCCTCCAGAATAAATTGCTTATAGTGCTGAACATTATTTATAGAGAAACATGAGAAAGAAACTTGGATCCTCTCCATGCAACTCACTTATGGTAACTAGATCATAGAGAAGAGACTTGTTCGGTGCTACTTTCCTTCCAGTCAAAGGATATTAATCACTGACACTCGAGATTGTGATAAGTAGGAATTGAGATTTCATTGGACTCTTGATTTGGGGTTTTTTGGATTGTTTGTTTTAATAGTATTGTGCTTTTATTTCATTCACTGGCCGGTTTCCTGCTAAATGGGAAGCTGTATGAATTGAACTGAACTGAGTTGAGTTGAACTGAACTGAGTAACTTTCTGTGTGTGGTGAAAACAAGTTACAGAGCTTTTAATTAACTCTTCTAAATTTCAAGTCTGATATCAGAGGGACCTCACCAAAAAAAAAAAAAAAGATCCACAAGTGCCAGAGAGTCAGAGACAAGAAGAGATCAGGTTTAAAAACTTATTTTGCTGAGTCTGTCCATGATGATTCCTTCTCTGATTGTATCACTGTGGATCTCAACCCCTTGTGAGGAAGGAAGAAGGGAGGACCAGAACAAAAGGCAGAAAGTAGGCAGAGGAATGGCAGCCTTCAGTCTCCTTTTGGAGATATAAAAATAGCCACAACTCATCAGCCACAGCCATCCTGAGGCAGAAAAATTTGGGGAAAGGGAGGAAGTAATGGGCTATTTGCGTCATTCAAAACCAGTCAACTTGTCATTGTTTTATTTTCAAATACTGTATACCTCCTTGTGTGTGTTTGTGTGTGTGACTGTATACTATTTTTATTTTATACTGCTATTCAAAGTATATATTGTCCAGATTGCTAGTTTTAATTTCTTCTTGTTGTATTGGTGTAGCGCAATCCTTTTAACATATTTTGATGTAATACTGTCTTTTAGCCCTTTTTTTCCCCTCTGTATATTCTTTTCTTAACTGTCCTATTGTCTATTTAGTTTTGGCAATTTTGGATATTTGAATACCAATTCTCTCATGCTGGTTAATGAGCGCAATAAAGTTAAATAGATAAACACAGCTAGTAAGTTTTATCCTGCATTACCAGAATGCATTTAGGCTCAAGATTAAGATAATTTTATCTCATGCAAACCGAAACTAGGCTCTCTGGCCTTGTACCAAGCTAAATTTTGGGAAGTCATCCAAAGCAATTACTGTATTATAAGCAGAGTGAAATGGATCAGGATAATTTTCTGGAAGCAGCAGCTTCCTTAGCTCCACTCCTAAATCTTAAATCCTAAAGTAGTAAAATAAACTTGTTAAGGGCAATATATAACTAATTATACCAAAATTAAAATCACAGGAGATTTTACTTCTAAGAAAGCAAGGTTAGGTTCAGTCAGTTATGAACCTCCAGATTCAGCCTGCATGACTCTACAGCCTGTAAGCCATATAAAGCAACCAATTCCTCATTTTCTTTCTACATGGAAATAAAAACACAACAGGGCTGAATGTATAGATGCCAGGCATCTAGTAGGAAAGACATTTGCATTTTGGTGCGTCATAAATTTTATCAGTCTAGAGCAGGGGTCCCCAATCTCCGGTCCGTGGACCGGTACCAGGCCTCGGCATGCCAGCAACCAGGCCGCACAAACAAGCAAAGTCCCATCTGCAGGATGCAGGCAGCACACAAAACCACACCCCCTCTGGTCAGCAGAAAAACCTTTTATCATCATGTAACCAGTCCCTGGTGCCCAAAAGGTTGGGGACCTCTGGTCTAGAGAATATGGTCTATTTTCTTGGGGTTTGCTCAAATTCTGTCAATGCCAGGATGGAATATTTCCATTCCCACATCACCCCCCCCCCCACCAAAGATCCTAAAGTTGTAAGATATGAGATTATCTGTACATAGAATTTTCTGCCTCCCTCCCTTGAAGAAATTTTTATTTTCCCCTAGAGGACAAAATTGGAGCTACCTATAGAAAAGCAAAGGAGATAATAAACAATACTGTTTCCGCCCCTCCCCCCATCACTTTGGGGTACTGTATACATTACTTGATAAAATAGAGAAAACAGTTAATAAATAGGAATTAGTATAAAATGCCAATGGCTGCACCCAATATGTCCTCTCTAATGCCTGGATTATGTCCTCTCTAATGCCTGGATGTCTCTGAAGATTATCCATTCTTCACCTGAACAATTTAACCATTTGCCCAACATGCTTTCTTGCCTCATATATAAGAGTGTTAAGCAAGGTTTTAAGTCCCTATCCTCTAAAGTATTATATGGGAAATTAGATGCAAACAACCAGCACCACTCATAAATAGCTAAAGCATACAACTTCATAGTTCTCACAAGAATCTTCCCAGATGTTGTGTTCCTCTGGAACAAGCAGATAAGTTTTTGTGGATGGGGAGAGGGGCTTATGCTTCTTGGGACGGTGCAAGGACTCAAGGATAATTCCCTGCCTGATCCCACCTTCCAGCCTGGCTGGCATTTTCCCAACAGAAATTCAAGGATTTCCCCCCAATCTGGATGTCCCTGTTTATAATTGGATGAAGCCATTAGACTTTTTTTTTACATGTTTTGCTGTGCTGTTTTTGTACTATGTCACATTTGGTGCTGTGAATTAATATACCCCCTTGTTATGTTACCACATGATGGCCCAATATGGAGATTATG